CAGCCCTATATCATTTAAGCAGATGGTTCAATGGGAGAGAACTTGTCCCCTTGGATATTTTGCTGTGTGTCCAAAGTTAGGTTTTTGTTTTTCTGCCAGAACAGGAGATTGAACCAAGAGCCTCTGCACTGAGCTACATCTCTAGCCCTTTTTTAATTTTTGTTTTTTGAGACAGGATTTCATTAAATCTCTAAATTTTCCAGGCTGGGCTCAAACTTGGCATCCTCCTGCCTCAGCCTCCCAGTACTGGGACTGCAAGCAACATCACCACACCCAGCTCCAAATTAGTTTAATGTCATATGTGCCCTTAAATAATATTAAAGTCAGTATGGTTGATTTATATTTTTAGCTAATTGACTAGCAAAAAAATGAATAAAACAGAGAGGAAGGATCCTCCTTTAAACATTTTGCTTCATACATACTTTCTGGGGGTTTATCAATCCCACAGGTGTGTTTTACACTACATCTTGATAAGAATTATCAACTTTTCTCCTACCATTTATCCATTGCTATATTCTCTTTCATTTCTCCCATCTTTCTTTTTTTGTACTGGGGATCGAACTCAGGACCTTGGGTTTGCGAGACAGGCGCAGTGCCACTGAGCTAAATCCATGGCCCCCACCCTCCCCCCCTTTTTTTTCCCTTCCTTCCTTCCTTCTTTCCTTCCATCCTGTATAGGGATGTAACCCAGGCCCTCCACACTGGCTACATCCCCAGCCCTTATTTATTTATTATTTTATTTTGAGATAGGGTCTCAATAAGTTGCTAAATTGCCAAGACTCAGTTTGAACTTGAAATTCTCCTGCCTCAGCCTCCCAGAGTGCTGGAATTAGAGATGTGCATCACCATGCCCAGCTCATTTTCTGCTTTTGAAGCCAAACTCCTCTGCTCAGCACACCAAAGTGTCTCTCCCTTTCCCTTCCTCTTCTTTCTCCTCCTCCTCCTCCTTCTTTTTATTTGTCTTCTTTCTTTCCTTCTCTCTTTCTTTCTCTTTCTTTCTTTCTTTCTTTCTTTCTTTCTTTCTTTCTTTCTTTCTTTCTTTCTTTCTCTTTTTTGTACCAGGGATCGAACTAAGGACCTTGTGCTTGCAAGGCAGGCAGCAGCATGACTGAGCTAAATCCCCAGCCTGTTATTTTTCTTTTTTCTTTTTCTATTTTTTGGGGGGAACTGGGGATCAAACTCAGGACCTTGTGCTTGCCAGGGAGGCATTGGCGCCACTGAGCTAAACCTCTGGCCCTCTTTTTTATTTTTTTGAGACAGGGTCTCACTATGTAGCCCAGACTGGCCTCGAACTTGTGGCAATTCTCCTGCCTCATCCTCCCAAGTGCTGGGTTTACAGGTGTGTGCCATTACTCCTGGTTAAGTGCACTGAATATTAAAAAATAACTCAGAGAACCCTTTATCCTACATATTGGACCAGTACAGAAATGAATGTTGCAGTTTCTGATTTTGATCCTTAAATCTGCATAGTTGTCAATGACTATCAAAACGAATCCTCTTTTGGATATTCTTGTTCAAAAGGCAATAGAATCAGGTTTGTCAGTCATCGGACCATGAGGTCATAGTTTAGCAAAAAACACTGTCAGTTTTACCTTTGAAACAACAGATAGTTACAAAAAAATCTTACACATAAAGCATAAATTTGGCAGAGATTTATAAGTTTCCAATTTCACAGTGAATCCCAGACATTTTATTTTATTTATTGGAATCCCAGACATTTTAAAGGCAAAGATTCTAACTAGCACACAAAATGACAGAAGTGAAATAACTCAAGCGCTGCTTATTTCAAATAGGCTATTTAAAAGCAAAGGTTTGTGATACCACAGGCCTAGAGACAGAAACTAGCTCAGAGAGGGAGCCAGATCTGAACTGAAAAAAAAAACAAGTGGTTGGGCTGGGTAGGGTGGCATGTTCCCGAAATTCCAGCTACTCAAGAGGCTGAGGCAGGAGGATGGCAAGTTTGAACCTAGGTTGGTAATTCAGAGAGATCCTGTCTCAAAATTAAAAATCAAAACAAAACTGGGGATGTAGCTCAGTGGTAAAGTGCCCCTGCATTCAAAACATTATAGGTAAGTGTGTGTGTGTGTGTGTGTGTGTGTGTGTGTGTGAGTGTGGTGGAGGATATTGTGTAATGGCAATCTCCAACTAACTGCCATGCACAGTATATAACATAACATCATATTGGGTAAAAGTAAGTTATAACACTGTGCTAATGTGAAGTTTAAATATATATTATTAGAACTCAATATTAACAGGAACAAAATGAACTTTGGAGGCCAGGCATGGTGGTGAACACCTATAATCCCGTTACTTAGGAGGCTGAGGGTTCGAGGCCAGCCTAGACTACATAGCAAAACCCTGTCTAAAAAAGGGGGGGGGCCTGGATTTGATCCCCTGGAGCGTAAAACAAAGAAACAAATCCATGATTATGACAAAGACTTCTCTTGAAAGTCAAAAGACAAAAAGCTCCATCCTGGAACCAACAAACAGAGTTGCAGCTGCCTGGTTAGGAAGTGCGATCTCCACTTTGCCTGTCCCCTTTCCTGTGGTCCTAATGTGCTGAGTGCTAATACTGTACCAGTTGTCATTTACCAAGATGCTCACGCATAAGTTTTTCAGAGCAGATATATTTGTATTTCTTTGCAAATCTCCCTTCCTTCCCTCCCTCCCTCCCTCCTTCCTTCCTTACTTTTCTCTCTCTCTCTCTCTCTCTCTCTCTCTCTCTCTCTCTCTCTCTCTCTCTCTCCTTTCTTTCTGCATTACCTGGGATTGAACTCAAGACCTTGCGCCCATCAGGCGGGCACAGCACCCCTGAGCTACATCTGAGGCCCTTGCAAATGTTTAATCAAATGACAGGGCGGCTAGAGTGAGCTGCGGGCGGGCTCAGAGGAGCGGGGCCTGGGACTGACTACTTTGGCGCTACCCAACCAGCGCTGGCGATGGAAGCTTGACAATGGGAATTCAAGGCCTGACCACACTGATGGCTGATGTGGCCCACAGTGCTATCTGGGAGAATGACATCAAGAGCTACTTTGGCTGCACGGTGGCCATCGACGCCTCCATGAGCATCTACCAGTTCCTGATTGCCGTCTGTTGGGGGGGAGAAGCGCTGCAGAACGAGGAGGGCGAGACCACCAGCCTGATGGGCATGTTCTGCCGCACCATCTGCAGGATGGACAAAGGCATCCAGCCCGTGTATGTCTTCGATGGCAAACTGCAGCAGCTCCGGAGCGGCGGCTGAGGCAGAGAAGCAGCGGCAGCAGGCCCAGGCTGCAGGGACAGAGGAAGAAGTGGAAAAGTTCACCAAGAGGCTGAAGGCCATGAAGCAGCACAACAACAGCACAAACATCTGCTGAGCCTCATGGGCATCGCGTGCCTCAATGCTTCAGTGAGGCGGAGGCCAGCTGCGCTGCCCTGGTGAAGGCTGGCGTGGCTGCTCTTCCTGGAGCCCGAGGTGCTGGACCCCAGTCTGTGGGGCTGAAGTGGAGCCCAACGAGGAGCCGGCCAAGCTCCTGTGCAGAGAGAAGCAGTTCTCCGAGGAGCAGATCCACAGCACGCGGCAAGCGCAAGGAGCCAAAGCCCAAGGGGTCCACGAAGAAGAAGGCGAAGTCAGGGGCAGCGGGGAAGTTTAAAAAGGGGAAGCAAACCTGCCGTGCCCCTTGTCCCCAGAGCGCCTACCTCTGGTCCTCTCAGAAACCTAAGCTAGTGGTGTTGTGGCAGGAAGGTCGCAGAGCTGCTGTTTCCTCTTATTGTTGGCAACAAGGGTTTGACCACTGGATGTATCTTGGGGTGGGTGGAAACTTGAACTTGCTATGTGATGCGTTAAGGCGTTATTCAGAGGAGTAAGTTGGCGAGCTCTTGCAGCCTTTCTAGGCAGTTGACAGAGTTGAGACTTTGGGATCAGACACTGGTTTCTTAGGCTGTTTTTTTTTTTGTTTTTTTTTTAAAGATATGAAGGGAAAAACAATCATTAAAGTGGTGAAAGTATCCTGAAAATAAACAATCAAGTGAAACAAAATATAAACCAAGATGTAATTCTTCAAGAAAAGAGTGACAGGCCATATGGGAGGGCAGTGACAGTGGAAAATATTGTTTAATTGAAACCCCGAAGCAGCTTTAATCAATTACCTACTTGGCCCTTGTATGCATTTCAGTTTTCGATCCAATAGTTTTTTTGTTTTGTTTTGAGACAGGGTCTCACTATGTAGTTCTGGCTGGTCTTGAATTCACTATGTCGCGAACACGTGATGATCCTCCTGCCTCAGCCTCTTGAGTGCTGGGATTGTAGGCATGTGCCCAAGGAATTTGAAATCAGAACGTCTTATCCTAAGTGGACTATTCACTCCCTGAGCCCCAAATGCAAGCAAATAGCTTCAGTTTCTTCATCTGTGATAAGGGAATGGGAATTTCAACTTTATAGGTTGGTTTGTGAGCATCCCGTGCAGTAATTAGCGTTAACATTTTGAAATATTAACTGTGAGACAAATGCTGGTTCATTCAGGCACCACCTCATTTTAAAATTTATACTTTATTCACACTGATCTAGGGAGTTATTTCACAGGGTAAAATATGCCCGTTGTACCAAGGAAGGTATTCAAGGTGAAATACCTGAATCTGACAGGAACACAAAATACCTGAGGGGGTGTGGCGCCTTCAGTTTACTACGCATGCGCAGATATGAAAGCTGTTAGGCCTGCCCTCGGCGCCTGATTAAAATATTTAATTTAGACTGTCAAAAGTCTCTCATACCTTACTATATTTACTTTTCCTTTTATTATAAATGCTCGTACATTATTAATTTCTGAGACAGACTAAAGCATGTATTCCTATTGAGGTGCCTTTTGTCCCATTGTAAACCCTAAATAAAATTTGCAGTTTAGGATGATGACGTAATTTCTCTGTAAAAACAACAAATTAACCCACCTCACAGGGCCGTGGGACTGTGGGCGACATTTTAAATTCAGGCACTTCAGTAGTTACCTGTTTTCTTGGGGGCGGTGCCACGTATGGACCCCATGGACCCCGGCGACACCGCCATTTTGAATATTGCCTTAAAGGGTCTTCTACTGGCTTTTCGCGTCCCTGCCGTCGCCGCTACTCGCGGTGTTGCCGGGCAAGATGAATGTAATAGACCATGTGCGGGACATGGCAGCCGCGGGGCTCCACTCCAACGTGCGGCTTCTCAGCAGCTTGTTACTTACAATGAGTAATAATAACCCGTGAGTTGAGTCGGGGAGCGGCCTGGGGTTTAGGAGCGGGGGCTGAGGTGGTGTGGGAGGAGCCGGTAGGAAGCAGTGGTCTCAGGACCCCAGCTGAGGCTGCGGGGTCCGTGAGCGTCTCTGCAGGCGGAGCCAACTTGGGGCCTTCTGCGCGGAGGCTCTGAGGTCCTAGGGCCCGGGTTCGGACTACTTCCTGAGGCACCTGTCGGCGGGCGCAGCGACTGTCACTTTTCTGGGTCGAGTCTCCCCCCGAGCCCCGGCTTCTTCCCGAAGGACGTTTCCTTGCTGCCGCTCATAGAAACCTGGTCCCCTGGTTTTTTGTGGCTTCATCCCACATTTGAGATCGGTATTTTCCACCGAGTGACTCGCGAGGGTCCCTCCCTCTCGCCCCGCCCCGGCAAACCCCGGGCACCTGCAGCACCTTCGAAGGATTCACACGAGCTATAGGAGCAGTGCTACTTTCTTGTGTCACGTCTGCCGTGCATTGAGGCGTAGACGAAGCACAGGGCTTCTTTCAGCCTTAAGAGGGTAACCCTCTTTGGCTTGAAATCCTCCATTGCGCTAAAATTCTTTCCCGGGGCTCCTGAAGCCAAACATTCACCTTATTCTCTGTGTGATTCCATCGCCTGGCTCTGTCCAGGGTACTCCAGCCTCCCTGGCCAGAGCTCGTTTTCAAATGTGGGAGTTTTGCACTTGCTGCTCCTGATGCTTGGAGTCCTCATCTCAGCTGCTTCATTCAGATTTCAGGTCAGGTGTCCCTCCCAGGGATCTGTCTTTGACCTGAATTATCCCGTTCTCCTACTTTCCTATTCCGTGGACCTGTTTTGTTCTTTGAGTCATCTATTCAAGAAGCACAGTGCCTGTGTGTAGTCACTGAAAGTGCTAAAGAAATGTGTACAACCTCAGGGACGTGAAGTACTTTAACCAAGTTCACACATCCAGTGAGTCCCCTTGGGCTCCAGAATCTCCATTCTGTGCAGTGGAGTAGACAGTGTTCTGCCTCCAAATGGCATTATGATGGGGTCTTCTTTTCTGTGTTCCCATTACATTTGGCCAGCTCTAGAAACTGCTCTAGGTCAGAAAGGCCTGTGACTGCCTGAATGCAGCTACTGCTCCTGGTTCATTTCCATCACTGTGCTCTTGACCTCATAACAAGATGCATCATTTTACCACCATCTGCTTGGTGTTGACAATAAGGAGCACTGGTCTCAGTCAGCCTTCTTTGTTTATTCTGGAGCCTTCATTTGGTTCTGAGTGATCTGTCAAAGCATACAGTTTCCACTATTGGGGATTACTGCTCTTGTCATTACTCTTGCTTCAAAGCATACAGCTTCCATTTTGGGGATTAACACACCAGTCATTACTCTTGGTTCTTAAAGATGTTGCAAGATAGCTTGAAGCAGTTTGATTTTCTGGCTAGACTAAGTTGATATATGCTTTTTCATATTAGGTTATATTGGCAGTTACTTAGCTTCAAGAGGCATTTAAGTTCTGACCTTTATTATTTTGAAACTTCTTGAGTAGTCAGTACATACATTGTTTCTGCCTCCTTTTTTTTTTTTTTTTTTTTTTGAGATAGGGTCTTGCTATGCAGTTCAGGCTTGCCTTGAATTCATGATGTAGCTCAGGCTGGGCTTGAACCCAAAGTGATCCTCCTGCCTCAGCTTCCTGAGTGCTGGGATTACATGCCCCTGAGTCTTGAACCTCACCACTCTTTTCCTTCAGTGACAATAAGTATTAAAATTTTCATGTATCCTGCCAAAAATAATTTATGTGTGCATACATAGGCAAGTATGTTACAGTATGTAAATATGAGTGTTTTTTGTGGGCATAGTAATATTTTCTCTTTTTCTTTTTGTAGTACTAGTCATTGAACCCAGGGAATGCTGAGCTACAATATCTCCAGCCATTTTTTATTTATTTTTTGAAACAGGGTCTCACTAAGTTGCCCAGGCCGGTCTCGAACTTGTGATTCTTCTGCTTTAGCCTCCCAAGTAGCTGGGGTTACAGGTGTCCACCACCACACCTGGCTAATATTTTGTTTATCCAAGTATCAAATGCTTATTTCTCATTGCATACATGAAATCTTAGAGTTGGAATAGATCTTAAGCCATCTGGACTATACCTTTCACTCCTTAAATTTCCGTCCTAACTTTATATCCAGTGTTTAGCCTGTTTGTCATTCTTGTTTGTTTTTGTGCTGGGAATCAAACCCAGGGCCTCACAGATACTAGGCCAGCACACTGCCACTGAGCTATAATCCTCAGCCTTAAAAAAAAAACAAAGAAACCATAATAAACAATGTTGTGATGTAAAAAATAAACGAACATACAATATAACTACATACCATAGAATTCATCCTTTTAAAAATATTTTGTTGTTGTTTTGAGACAGGGTCTCTATAGTTCAGGCTAGCCTGAACTTGCAATGATCCTCCTGCCTCAGGCTCCTGTGTGCTGGGATTTATAGGCATGCAGCTGGCTTGAATTCATCCTTTTTTTTTTCGTACCGGGGATCGAACTCGGGACCTTGCGCTTGCAAAGCAGATGGCGGAACCACTGAGATAAATCCCTGGCCCTTGAATTCATCCTTTTTTTTAAAAAAAAAAGTACAGTTCAGGGCTGGAGATGTAGTTCAGTGGTGCCATGCCTGCCTGGCAAGCGCAAGGTCCTGAGTTCAATCCCTGCTGCTGCAAAAAACCCCCAAAATGTACAATTCTGTTCATTTTATTGTATTCACAAGGTTGTACATCCGTAGCCACTAATTCCAGAATGTTTTTAAGGATTTTGTTGGGTTTTGTTGGTGGTACTAGGGGATTGAACTCAGAACCTTGTGCTTACAAGGCAGGCACAGCACCACTGAGCTACATCCCCAGCCCTAAGGATTTGGTTTTTTTGAGGCAGGGTCTTACTATGTAGTCCAGGCTGGCCTTGAACTCAAGATCCTTCTGCCCTGCCTCAGCCTTTCAAGTGCTGGGATTATAGGCATCTACCACAATGCCGAGCCCAAAATGTTTTCATTACTCCCAAAAGAAACACATCTATCAGCAGTCAATACCTAGTCCCTCTTCTTTCAGCATCTACTAATTTATGGACCCTATTCTTGATATATTTGTGAGAAATTAACTGTCTACAATTCTTTGATTTATTTTTTACCTAGCAACACTGTAAACTCATCTAAATGTGGAAAGAAATAGAATTGGACGTTAAAAAATACGAGTTTCTCTATAAAGAATGGTTGCCAGGACCGGGTGTATAGCTCAGTGGTGGAGCACTTGCCTAGAATGCAGCACATTGTGCTCGCTTCAGCAGCACATATACTAAAATAGAATGCAGAACATTGTAGACAAAGAGAATGGCAGCCGGGGATTTAGAATGCTTGTGAGCACTATTTAAGGTTAGAGAAATAGTTTTGAAACATGCTGGTTCTTTCACATTGTCTTTACACCTCTGGCACTCAAAGAGATAAGAATGCTTTAAGTGCTAGTAAGATTTACATGTATGTGAGATTAAAAATAGATTTAGTCAAACAAGGTGAATTCCCTTTCCTCCCTTCTCTATCCTATTGGATATCCCATTTTATTCTTTTTTTTTTTCTTTTCCAGTATGGGAATTGAACTCAGGACCTTGAGCTTGCCAGGCAGGCACGGTGCCACTGAGCTAAATTCCTGGCTCCTCTATTCTTATATTGACATTTTCTGTAGTATTTGAGGAGTTTTAAGATTCGTATTCAGAGTGGTGAAGTTTTTATTTTCCAGGTCTTCAACCCTTCTTTGGTAATATTAAATTATTATGATCACTTTTCTTTGTCACTGTTGTCCTTTACACTTGTTATTAGCTGGGGATGGTGGCACATACCTATAATCCCAGCTGATCAGGAGGCTGAGGCAAGAGGATTGAAAGTTTGAGGCCAGTTTGGGCAATTTACTGAAAGCTTGTCTTAAAATAAAATTTAAAACCAGGCATGGTAACTCATGCTTGTTATTTTAGCATTCTGGGAGGCTGAGGCAAGAGGATTAGAAGTTCGGGCCCAGCCTTGGTAACCAAGCAACTTAGTGAGATCCTGCCTCAAGATGAAATAAAGGAAAGGTCCTGAGTTTGATCCCCGGTACCAAAAAAAAAAAAAAAAAGATGAAATAAAGGAAAAAGAAGGGCTGGGGATGTAGCTCATTGTGATGGCCCTGGGTTCTAGCCCCAGTACAATAATAAATAAATAGAGTCTGGTATGGTATAATCTTAGCACTTGGGAGGCTGGGGCAAGAGAATTGCCAGTTCAACACCAGTCTAGGCTACATAGTGAGTTCAGGGCCACCTGAACTACTTAGAACTGTCTTTTAAAAAAAGGAGGGCTGGAGATACAGCTCAGGTATAGAGTGGTTCAAGTGCTTGGGTTCAATCCCAAGTACCAGAACACACACAAAACAACCTTTCTGGGCTGGGGATTTAGCTCAGTGGTTCTCCCGCCTGCCTCACAAGCACCCAAGGTCCCAAGTTTGATACCCGGTACCAAAAAACAAAAAACAGCCTTTCAATGGGCAGTATATCAGACTGCTAAGATGGCTTAGATTAGAGAAGGAGAGAAAAAGATGTATCATGTTTTCTTTGTATAGCTCTGTATTATTGGATTTTGTTTATAGGTATCATTGCCTTTTTAGGAAGTAAGAAAAATGTATTATTTAAGTCTGTTAAGGTAGTATCCTAGATGTGTTCACCATTGTTTGTCTTACGCATACCCTTTTAGGGAGTAGTACTTAAGGTATTTAATTTTTTGTGAACTCGTTATACAAGGCTTTGTGCTAGGCTTCTGTGAACACTAAGGTGGTGTTTCTGACATTTCAAAATAACCCATGTAGGGGTATACTTTCTTTGTTTTCTAGTGAGTTGTTCTCCCCATCTCAGAAGTACCAGCTTTTGGTATATCATGCAGATTCTCTCTTTCATGATAAGGAATATAGGAATGCTGTGAGTAAGTATACCATGGCTTTACAGCAGAAGAAAGCCCTAAGTAAAACTTCAAAAGTGAGACCTTCAACTGGAAATTCTGCATCGACTCCACAAAGTCAGGTAATTGAAAATAGAATTGATTTTTGTTTTTGTTTGTTTTTTTTCTTTTCTTTTCTGGGCTTGAACCCAGGGCCTCGTGCATGCTAAGACAAGTGTTCTACCGTTGAGCTATACTCTGAGCCCCAGGATTAAACTAATTTAGATGATGGCTAAGATTAGACATAGAAAATGGTAAAATATGTAACTTAAAGGGGAACCAACTGAAGAGACAAAAACTACTTAGATAGAAGAATATGTTCAGTGAGTGATCTTCATCTTGTATTTCTCCTTATGTAAAACCTTTGCTTTCTGACACTGAATGGAAATCATGTATATCATCCAGATAGGATCATTCATAAAATAGCTAACATTAGCAAGGTGTGGTGGCACATGCCTATAGTCCCAGCACTCAGGAGGCTGAGGCAAGAAGATCCATATGAGTTCAAGACCAGCCTGAACTATATAGCAAGACTCCATCTCAAAAAAAAAAAAAAAAAAATGTTGGGCCGGGGATTTAGCTCAGTGGTTTCGCTGCCTACTGCGCAAGTGCAAGGACCTGAGTTCGATCCCCGGTACCAAAAAAAAAAAAAAGCTAACATTTAGTTAGTATTCAATATATTAAGCACCATGCAAAACTTTTCATATGAATACATTGAATCATCATGGATTTATTTGGTTTTTTTGTTTGTTTTGTTTTGTTTGAGACAGTGTCTCGCTGTGTACTCCAGGCTGGGTTGAACTTGTGATGACCCTCCTGCCTCAGCCTCCTAAATGCTGCCATTATAAGCATGCACCACTATGCCTGATGTACTTATTTTTTTTTTTAATTTTGAGTCAGGGTCTTGCTATGTAGTTCAGGCTGGTCTTGAACTCACTATAGGTATATCTCAAGACTGGCCTCAGACTTGCTGCAATCCTCCTGCCTCAGCTTCCACCACACCCAGCTTGGTCTGTTTTTTTGTTTTTTTTTTTTGAGACAAAGTCTCTGTAGTTTAAGCTGGCCTGGGATTCCTTATGTAGCACAGGCTGGCCTTGAACTTGGGATTCTCTTATCTCATCCTCCTAAGTGCTAGGATTACAGTCTTATGCCACCATGCCCAGTTGGAATTTTTAAATAATTTGAAATCTATAGCTTATGTGCCTTTTAAAAGTGCAATTTTTCTTTTGTACTGGGGATTGAACTTGGGTCCTTGTGCTTACAGGGCAGGCGGCAGAACCACTGAGCTAAATCCCCAGCCCTTAAAGTACAATTTAATGGGCATAGTCACAAGATTGTGCAACCATCAGTACTGTCTAATTTCTGAAATTTTTCATAACCCTAAAGAGAGTCCCATGTTTTTAACACTCAGTCCACATTCCCACTCCTTTCCTCCCCTGGCAGTCACTAAGCTTTGTCTTTGATGTACTATCTCCTGGACATTCTGTATGAACGGAGTCATACACTATGTGGCCTTCTGTGTCTGGCCTCCTTCGCTTAGTATTTTGTTACTTTTAAGGTTGATCTATTACAGCATGAATCGGCTCTTTATTCCTTGTTACTGCCAAATATTCCCTTGTATAGATGTGCCACATTTTGTTTACCTATTGATTAGTTGAGGGACATTGATTCCACTTTTTGGGCATGAACAATGCTGCTGTGAACATTTGTGTATAAGTTATTTTCTGGATATCTGTTTTCAGTTCTCTTGACTATATCCCCAGGAACAGAATTCCTAGATCATATAATGATTCTGTGCTAACGTTTTGAAGAACTGCCATTCTGAAGAGATACAGAATGAATGCCACACATTTTGAAGAGATGTGTTCTTGTCTCCTAGTGTCTTCCATCTGAAATTGAAGTGAAATACAAAATGGCTGAATGTTATACAATGTTAAAACAAGATAAAGATGCCATTGCTATACTTGATGGGATCCCCTCAAGACAGAGAACACCCAAAGTGAGTTGAATTAACAGATCGCTATGAATTTTTCTCCTTCCCAGCCCTCCCAACCCTGCTTCTTCCATGTCTTCTCTTTGTGTTAGGAGGTCCATCTGAGCATTTTACTCATGACTGTAGCTCTCACTTTCTTCCTCTCTGAATAGGATAGGGGTTGAGAGAGGTGGGTGAATGACATTCTTAAGAGACGTTTTTTGGTACCAGGGATTGAACTCAGGACTTTGAGCTTTCGAGGCAGGCAGCAGCACCACTGAGCTAAATCCCCGGCCCCCTTAAGAGACTTTTAAAACTCAGCTGATGCACATGATAGCTGGACAGTACTACAAGTATATATTCTTTTTTCATTTCTTGCTATAGGGCATAGTGATTTGCAGAACACTTCCACAGCCAGATGTGGTGGTGAAAGCTGGGAATCCCAGCACTCAGAGGCTGAGGCAGGAGGATTGCAACTTCGAGCCCAGTCTGAACAACTTAATGACTTAGCAAGACCCTGTCTCAAAATAAATTAAAAAATGGATGGGGATGTAGCTCAGTATGAAGACCCCAGGTTTAATCCCTAGTACCACAAAAACAAAACAAAAAACTTCCGGGTAACAAAAACTTTTTTAGAGCTTCGTTTTTTGCATTCCATAGGTGTACTGATTTGATAATGAGAATGATTTTATTAATCCTGTCATTTTCATAGTCAAGGGTTCAAGACCTCTTTGTGCTTGTTTATGTGTGGAATATATGTTTGTGTTTGATTTGGCATCATATTACAGTAAAGAGTATACCTTTAACTCAAATCAAAAGATCTAGGGTCTTTGAATTTAGGGCATATGACCTATGTGCAGTGTGAGCTTGAGCAAGTTATCAATCTCTTAGCTTTCTTTTTTTTCCCTATTTATAAAGCGAGGATAATAGTGTTTTTTCTATATGCAAAAATACCTTCTTTTTTTCTTGCATGCTGTGGATCAAACCTGTGAGTATGCCAGTGTATGCCAGGGAAATGCTCTACCAGTGTAACTTATCAATGAGCTACATTCCTAGCCACACAGCCACCCCATATATACCCAAGGGCTTGCACACACTGGGCAGTTTTTAATAGACAGGGTCTTGCTGTGTAGTGCAGGCTGGCCTTGAACTCACAATCATCCTGCCCCATCCTTGCCAGTGCTGGGATGATAGTTATGCATCGTCATACTTGGCTGCCATAAAAATACTTTTTGAAGTACTGTTCTGAAAATAGTAAATTGGATGTTTATCAAAAAATTTTTTAAGTCTAGTTTAAATCTTTGCTATTAGGGTTGCATGTATTTTATATTCTGACATATAGTTTCATGTCACCTGTCCTTTTTATTTAATTATTTTTTTCCATACCAGGGATTGAACTCAGGATCTTGTGCTTGCAAGGCAGGCACAGTGCCACTGAGTTAAATCCCTGGCTGTTTCGTCCTTTTCATTTTTTGAAAAACTGTTGTGTGAAACTTGTGTTTAACAGTAGGGATTTTTTTTTTTTTGGTTCTGGGGATCAAACTCAAGACGTGCTTGCCAGGCAGGTGGGGTGCCACGGAGCTACAACCCCGGCTCAACAGTAGGGAATTTTTTTGGTAAGATGTCTGTATATCCTCCTACTCGTAAAACAAGGAATCTAAGCAATAGGGAGCTCAAGTATTTTAGTTAATACTTCATTTAAATGTTACTAAGTTTTAAAGGTCACCAAACTTGATAAAAAACGTATTTAAGACTTCCTCATATTAAGGAACTGATTACTATTTTGAGTGTTGGGGTGTGTCTGTGTATGCCTGCATGTTCGCACGTGTGTTGAGGATGGAACCCAGACCTCAAGCATGCTACACTTATGCTGTACCACTGGGCTGTAGCCCCAGCCTTATTTTCTGAGTTTTAAAACTAATATATTTCCTCAGTATATTTTATGATAGTGTCTTCTGTTAAACACACTTGGAAATGTATCATAGACTAACCTGTCTCGTAATAAACTTGAATGCCAGGGCTTTTTGTTTTTGTTTTGTTTTTTATTTTGAAACAGAGTCTTGTTAAGTTGCCCATGCAGGATTCAAACTTGAAATTCTTCTGTCTCAACCTCTCTCAATGCTGGGATTACAGGCATGTGTTACCATGTGTACATAGTTGGATGCTACATATTAAATTGTGTTCTAGTATCCTAGGAAAGTCTTCTTACCCTAAGAATAATTTTTTGTATATATGAAGAATATCTGTTGCTATAGCTGCTATACTTAATGTGTCTTTTTTTTTTTTTTTTTTTTTTTGGTACTGGGGATCGAACTCAGGACTTTGCACTTGCAAAGCAGGAGTGGTGCCACTGAGCTAAATCCCTGGCCCTGAGTCTTCCTTTTAGAAGAAGCCTTTTTTGCAGTACTGAAAGTTGAACCCAAGGGCTTGTATACACTAGGCAACTCTCTACCGCTCCACCCCTTTTTACTTATTTTTATTTTGAGATAGTGTCTTACTAAGTTGCCCTGCTGGGTCAAACTCCCCTTCTGCCTCAGCCTTCTGAGTATCTGGGATTACATATGTGTGCCATCACACCTGGCTCATGAAGCTGTTTTTATTATAAACATTGAATGATACTGGTACATGTTTTACTAGAAATATACCATAATTTCCTTCATAATGACTTGGAGGTATTTGGGGATATATTTTTGGAAAACGAGGAATGCAGAGAAACTTGGCTTTGTGGCATCCAGTGCTTGATGATTACAGCCATTGTTCTTGGAGGGACTTGAGTGTTTGTTAGGAGTACGTATCCTCCTTGAATTAGAGCTTGTGTAGACAGGAATAAGCAAACATGTGTCTCCAAAGTAAACCTATAACATTTGCAGTTTTCCTTCTTGTCAGGGAGTTAACTGTCTTCTCAGTCTGTGTAAAGGACAAGGAAGTGAGTCAGAATATGTCTAATTGAACATCTGTTGATGTATGGTAAACACCACACATGTTCCCTCACATTTTAAAAGAAAATTCCAGGGCCCGGGATTTAACTCAGTGGTTCTGCCCCCTGCCTGGCAAGCACAAGATCCTGAGTTTGATTCCCCCCCATACCAAAAAAAAATGTCTAAAAGAAAATTCCAGTGTCAGATTATTATATTTTGGTAAATCTTCAACTTTTTAGAAGTAAACATACCAACACACAATTTCTCACTCACTTTTTAGAAAATGACTGCTTCTCTGTAACTGGTGGAATATGGCTTTCTAATTTTTCTAAGTAAAGATCTGTTTTAAGAATTGACTTTTTCACTCTGTAGTACTTGAAAAACTCATTCTTTCAGAGTGATAGTCAAGTAGCTTAAAGGAAATTTGGTATTTGTTGAGATTTATTTCTCTTTCTTTTTTTTTTTTTTGGTACCAGGGATCGAACTCAGGACCTTGTGCTTTCAGGGCAGGCTGTGGCACTACTGAGCCAAATCCCCGGCTTTCTAATTTTTCTAAGTAAAGATCTGTTTTAAGAATTGACTTTTTCACTCTGTAGTACTTGAAAAACTCATTCTTTCAGAGTGATAGTCAAGTAGCTTAAAGGAAATTTGGTATTTGTTGAGATTTATTTCTCTTTCTTTTTTTTTTTTTTGGTACCAGGGATCGAACTCAGGACCTTGTGCTTTCAGGGCAGGCTGTGGCACTACTGAGCCAAATCCCCGGCCCTCCCTCTTTCTTTTTGAAACAGGGGCTCTCCCAATTCAGTCTGGCTTTAAACTCACTATGTGGCCCAGGCTGCTGGTCTCGAATTTACAGCAATCCCCCTGCCTCAGCCTTCCTAGTGCTGGGATTACAGGTTGTTGAGATTTCATCAATTTGTTAATAACAAGCAGTCAAACTTTACTCTTGAAATGTTGATACTCTGGAGTTTTCCTTTAAGCACTTTCAAAATAGGTTAAAGTGGAATATCTGAGGCCACATAAAAATAGTTTTATTTCTAGTATTTTATTATTTCATTGCTTGAAGTAGTGTGGATTAATGCTATACTAAATTTTTGTATAATGTAGGTCCATAATTGGAACCGATGTTGTTTTTCAGAGCCAATCTTTTCTTAATTTTTTTTATCCAGTACTGAGGATGGGAACCCAGGGCCTTGCACATGTTAGGGAAGCACTGTACCACTGAGCTACATTCCCAGCTCTTTTTTGTTTGTTTGTTTTTTGTTTTTGAATTTTTGGTACTGAGGATCGAACTCGGATCCTTGCGCTTGTGCAGCAGGAGGCAGAACCACTGAGCTAAATCCCCGGCTCCTTTCCCAGCTCTTTTTTAAAATTTGAGGTGAGTCTGGCTGAGCTGCCCAGACTGGCCTCAAGCCTCAGCCTCCCAAGTAGCTGGGTTTACAGGCATGGGACACTGCACTTGGCTCAGAGCCGCCATTGTTTTTAGTGTTTACAATACAAAGAAGTGATGTTTGTTTTGGGGAATAAGTACATGCATATAACATAGCTTAATCATTTTTAAAGAGCTGTTCTTACTAAATATCTGTCGTGCCAAGCCACAGATAATTGAAGATATGGTGTAGTGGTACCTCGGTTCATGAACATTTTTGTTTGCAAACAGTTTGGTTCACAAACGGAAACGTTTAGCAAAATTTTATTTTTGTTTGCATCAGGTAACAAACATGACCACAGCCATCTTTCGTCCACAAACGCAAACGTGACCATCTTTTCCAAAATCATAAAACAAATTAAGTTTGTGAACTAAGGTAGCACTGTACTGAGGACTTTTTTCTTTTGTGCCACATGTTGACTGCTCCTGTTAGGTTAATGATTGGCCCAATCACTGTGTTGTGTTTAAGATGTATTTATTTTATTTTATTTTTAAAATTTGTTTTTTTATTTTATTTATTTATTTATTTATTTGGTACTGAGGATCGAACTTGTGTCCTTGCACTTGTGCAGCAGGCAGCAAAAACAATGAGCTAAATCCCCAGCCTCCTTTGTTTATTTTTGAGATAGCATCTCACTGTGTAGTTCAGGCTGGCCTTAAACTCACTATATAGCCCAGCCTGGCTTTGAATTTGCAGTGATCCTCTAGCCTTAGCCTCCAAGTGCTGGGATTTGCAGGCGTGTGCACCCACACCCCGAAAGAACTTTTAGTTTTAAATTGGTTTTTATTTTTGTTTTTTTTTTTGGTACTGGGGATCAAACTTGGGTCCTTGCGCTTGCGAGGCAGGTGGCAGAACCACTGAGCTAAATCCCCGGCCTTTTAGTTTTAAATTGGAACATTGTGCTTTTCTCTTTGTACTATTAAGAAGATCATATGCCCCTCCCCTGTCATTTCTATAGTCTATGAAACTTTTAGATATTCTCTAATTTTTCCTGTTGTGTATTTAGGAAGAATTGTTTTAAGATTGTTTTTCTAAGTTACATCTTTAAACTGTGCTAAAATGCTGATGTCTGCACTCACTGGATTTAAGTAGTGTAGCTAATCTCTGGATCATTGTCCCTCTAGAGGTCAATTTTTTTTTTTTTTTTTTGGTACCAGGGATTGAATTCAGGACCTTGCACTTTTGAGGCAGTTACAGTGCCAGTGAGCTAAATTCCTGCTCTTGGAGGTCAGTTTGAGTTTGATTTTTTTTTTTTTCTTTTCTTTTCTTTTTTTTTTGAGTTTGATTTTTGTAGCATTACCTTGGTGAATCAGACAGTACATCTAGGTCAAAGCTGTAGATGTTAGACCAGAATCTAGCCACTAGTCTGATTGTCAGAAGCCAAGTATTTTACTTCTGTGTGTATCAGTTCTTTTGGGGGGAGAATCAGTCTGATCCTTCTTAACTGGCCATGTCAAGAATTCCTCACTTTATTATGCCTTAATGTTAATTGAATTTAAATATGTAAAATTGAGCACTTTTAGAATAGTTTATCATCTTAAGATCAAGAAAGAATCAAGGTAACTAGAATTTTGGAACGTTTCTCATGTGAATGTGTCTTTTGGTTAAGTGAGGGGGTAATGTGACTTTCCTTTTAAGAGTTGGGAGGACCTAGGAAAAGCAAAGGTAGTAATATCTTCTTTGTTTTGAAGAATGGGGTTTGTCCTTTTTTTTTTTTGCACAGGGCTGTTGGTAGATTTTCCAGTAAAAAGTAGAATAGTAGCTGGTAATAAAAACCAGAACTTTTTCATGGTGAGATATTTTCTTGGCAGATGCACTTACTTTATTGTTCTTCATTTTTTATTTATACAGATAAATATGATGCTGGCAAACCTATATAAGAAGGCTGGTCAGGAGCGCCCATCAGTTACCAGCTACAAGGAAGTATTGAGGCAGTGCCCACTAGCCCTGGATGCCATTCTTGGTATAGATAATTTTCTACCATTTTCCTGGAGTGTTTCCTGTCAGATAGTAGTTCTCAATTCATGGGTGTACATTTGAACAGATTTTTTTTACAAAAGTTTCCTGCAAGCCAGGCATGGTGGTACACATCTGTGATCTCAGCACTGAGGGACTCTGGGGCAGGAGGATTGCCAGTTTGAGGCTGCCTGGACAACTTAGTGAGGCTGTTTCAAAATAAAAAATAGCCAGGCATGGTGGCACACACCCATAGTCCCACCACTCAGGAGGCTAAGGCAGTAGCATCACTGAGATCTCAAGGCCAACTTAAACAACATAGCCTGCCTCAAAAAACCATAAATGAATAAATGAAAAAAAGAGCTGCAGATACAGGTCAGTGGTAAAGCATTCCTGGGTTTGACCCCCAGTACCACCCCCCAAAAAAAATTCCCTACATTGTCACATATTGAATGAAGAAATATTAAATGATTTTTTGCAGCTGAGGGGGTAGCTCATGGTAGAGGATGTGCTTATCATTCTGGAGACCCTCGGTTCCATCCACACCACCAAAAATTGATAATTAAATTATGGTCTTTCTATTGCATGCATGTTGATCAGAATAGGGCAGGGATTGCCTTCCAACCTGCGAAAGTGTAGCTTGTTCTTGCACTGTGGAAGAGGGATGATGTTCCTTACCTTCTTTGCCCTGCTTTCTGTTGGGTTAGGTTTGCTGTCCCTTTCTGTAAAAGGTGCAGAGGTGGCATCGATGACAATGAACGTGATCCAGACCGTACCTAACTTGGACTGGCTGTCTGTGTGGATTAAGGCATATGCCTTTGTGCACACTGGTGACAACACAAGGGCAATCAACACCATCTGGTGAGAGCCACAGCATTGGTTCAGTATTCTCCTGTCTGGGGGTCTCGTGCTTACATTAGCAGTACAGAAAAATGCGACACTTAGTGGGTTGCAGTCAGTTACCTTTGGGTTGTGTTGCTCTTGTGATGTCCTGAACCACTGAGAACGTAATTGTCTCTGCTGGGAACCCGTAAAATGTAAAGCTGGACTGAACTTGTTTGTGGGCATGCAAAGGTCATCCCCCTTCAAGAGTAGCCTGAGACCAAGAAGAATTTAGCAACTTAATGAGACTTTTTTGTTACGTTTTTAAAAAAAATTTATTTATTTATTTATTGGTACCTGGGATTGAACTTGGGTCCTTGCGCCTGCACAGCAGGCAACGAAACCACTGAGCTAAATCCCTGGCCCTTTTGTTATGTTTTTAAATAAAGACTTGAGGATGTAGTTCAGTGTGAAATTCTGGGTTCAATCCCCAGTACTACCAAAAAAAAATGAATGCCATGGTATGCTATGCTCAAACCTGGAAGAAACCTTTCTAGTCTCCTCACAAATGTAACAAATGTAGTTTATTGTGGCACCTGGGCTTTCTTTTTGGGGGGGGGTGTCTTTCTTTTTATTCAGATAAAGTCCTAAGACAAGAGGCTGGGGTTTTGTTTGGTAAAGAGTCAATAGTTGAGTAATAAGTAGCTGTCACTTTTGAATGACATTCCGTTCAATACTATGTATTTTTTTTTGTCCTCTGAAAAACCATAACTAGAAAGTTTTTAGGTAGGGAACGATATCTGATTTATTTACTTTCCTAAAGAATGTAACTTTTCAAAAACAGTAAACTCAGAATAAAAAATAATCTAGTGTACACAGCTTAAAAGTTTTTTTAGCCAGACATTGTGGTGCATACCTATAATCCAACACTCAGGAGGCTAGGACAGGAGGATCACCACAAGCCAACGTGGTCTACATAGCAAGTTCAAGGCCAGCCTACAATATACAGCAAGGCCTAATCTCCAAAAAAAAATTTTTTTTATTATAAAAAACACAGAAAAGAAAGTAATGTCTATATGGTAGTCTCCCAGATTCAACAACTAAGTATTTTTAATAGATTTTTTTTTTTGGTACCGGGGATCGAACTCGGGATCTTGTACTTGCAAGGCAGGCAACACAACTACTGAGCTAAATCCCTGGCCCATTTATAATAGATTTTAAAGTTCATTGTTTAATATCTTAAGTTCACTAGAGAAAAAGTCCTTGTTGCGAGATAATGTGGACTTGCTGGGAAGCTTAGCAGATCTGTACTTCAGAGCTGGAGACAATAAGAACTCTCTCCTCAAGTTTGAGCAGGCTCAGATGCTGGACCCTTACCTGATAAAAGGTGAGTAATTCTTGGGGCAGGGCAGGAGGGGCTAGAGGGGCAGATCAGAGAAGACAACAGGAAGTATAGTGTGAACTGATACTGCTTTTCAGAGCAGGGTTTTAAGATTTATTATAGTAGTCTTTTTTTTAGGTCCTGGCACATGTCTCTAACACTTTGGTTATTTCATTTTGAACAGTTATTTTTGCTTGAGTTTAAGTGTCATCTCCTTGCACACTATTATTTGGCTTTTTTTCTTTTGGAGGGAGTCATAGCCCCTCCTTATGAATTATAAATTTATGATGTGCGAGACTGAGGATTTGGATGACAACCCCAGAACTGTAATATCCTTTTAAGGAGTTTTACATGTCCTTTGTATAAATACAAGGGATAAGGGAACACCTGTTAAAGGGATAAGGTGCCAGTGCATGGCTGTAATCCCAGCACTTGGGAGGCTGAGGCAGGAGGATTGCCCTGAGTTTGAGGCCACCCTGAACTACATAGTGAGACCCTGTCTCCAAACACCCGCCCACAAAAACAAAACGAGAAAAAGCTATGTGTGTCGGGGAGTAAGGTAAGTAAAGGCAGTAATTAGTAGCAAACAACAGAAGATTGCTCTGATGGAGTAAGGACAGGGACTTCACAGGTTGGCTGGTGGGTGACTGGCCATGTGCGGAGTGTGAGTGCTCAGGAATAGTGGGAACTGAGATCAGATAAGCTCATATCTGTTTGTAAAGGCCCAAAAAATGCCATAAGGAAAATATGCCTCATGACAATAGTTTTGTAGACTGTAGAGAGATTGAGCCAGGGAGTGGACCTTCACAGGCACACAGATGAGAGCAGATACAGGATGATGAATTTGTTTGTGTGCCCACCCTCCTGCCTGGTGCTTATTCTTCTTCTCCATGCTGCCTGTGCCCATGATGAAAGTGTTCTAGAAGTGCTGTCTGGGGGCAATGGCAGCTTGGACTTGGAAGCTCAGTCCCAAGTCGAGGGCCCAGTGGGGTGTTGCTGTAATCTTGATTTGAGAGGAGTTTTCATGGGAGTCTGAAGGAACAGCAAGGAATGAAGGATGGTGGTGTGAGGGGCTGATGGGCCTTTCTGTAGACCTGAGGGAGAGGGGCTGGAGACGTGGGGTGTGTGGAGGGTGGTGCTCTTGAAGGAACTGCAGTGGACCCTTGACTTACAAGCTTGATCAGTTCCCAACCAGCTCAAGTTGGTTGTAAGTCAGTACAGCTGAGATCTGGACATTTACCTGGGTACACGCTATAGATAACAAGAGACAGATGAATCTCCCATTAACCCAGTTAACTCAAGTTGTTCGTGTGTGTTTTCCTGGAGTCAGCCAACTTGTGAGAATAACCTGTCCTTTTCACCAGCGCAAGTGTGTGTCCTCACTGCCAAGAGCTCCTGGGAGACAGCACTTACTTGATGCCTTTTTTGGGCCTTTTCTGATTATGAGCTTAGGATAGCTGTGTATATCACACCACAGATATAGGGACGGCAGTTCATGAAAAAACAGCTTTTCAAATTGTGAGGCTGGTCTTTCTGCTCCTTTGCCTCATTTTGGGTGGGCTTTGCTTCTTAATGGTCATTTTGTAGCAAAGTGCCAACACTGGTGGGAGGAGCCCATGATGATGGAAAAGGATCGAATTCTGCAGCAGCTGGGACTTCCACTTGGGCTCTGCTTAGTGGTTCCTGCTCCTTTGTTAAGGATCCTGCTTCTTTAATGAAAGAACCTCCTCTCGTCACGTCCTTCCTTTTAGGAATGGATGTGTATGGCTACCTCCTGGCACGAGAAGGGCGGCTGGAGGACGTGGAGAACCTCGGCTGCCGCCTTTTCAATATTTCTGATCAGCATGCAGAGCCCTGGGTGGTCTCTGGGTATGTTTGTGTGTTTACCTTCCTCTCCAGTTTTTTTTTTTTTTGGTACCTTGGATCGAACTCGGGTCCTTGTGCTTGCACAGCAGGCGGCAAAACCACTGAGCTAAATCCCTGGCCCTCCTCTCCAGTTTTCATTTGATTCTTTAAGCAATGGTGGTTTCTCTAAAGAGGTTTAAGAGGTAACCAGAACTGGATCAAATCATGCCTTGTGACTTTAGATGCACATGCACCTCTCTGAATCTGTTTCTTATTTGAAGAAGGGGTTACTAACCCCTGCTTCTAGAGGTGGCACAAATGGGGATAGTGAACACCACCCAGCGACAGGGTTAGAGCTGCTCCTTATTGGTTCAGAGCTGGGTGTAGCTCACTCATAGGGGCTCACCTAGCACATGCAGGGCCCTGGGTTTGATCCCCAGGACCACAGAATAAAAGTAAATAAACCTATGTTGTAATTGAGCTGGTTTTACAAATCCTTCAGATGTCTCTCAGCTCATAACTTATCTAGATTGGCAGGCTCTTTTCCATAATTTTTCCTTTCAATGTCAAGCTTTCTGCTTTAAAGGTAAATATTTAGCCATGCATGGTGGTGTATGCCTATAATCGTAGCACTTGGGAGGCTGAGGCAGGAGGGTTGCTGCAAGTTCAAGGGCAGCCTGGGCTACATAGTGAGACCCTGCCTCAAAAAAAAAACAAAACAAACTTAAGGTGAATAGTTAGTCAATTTTGGTTTATTTTGCTTTTTCGCTAACAGGTTATAGTCATGAGTGTGGTTTGTAATAAGAATCGTGTATTAAGACCTTCTCTTTGATTTATGGATGCAGCTTCTTCATAGTCCTGTCAAATAACTTCTAATGTCCGTCTCCACCCCCCCACCCTCCAGGTGTCATAGCTTCTATAGCAAACGCTACTCCCGGGCCCTCTACTTAGGAGCCAAGGCGATTCAGCTGAATAGTAACAGTGTTCAAGCCTTGCTACTGAAAGGAGCAGCACTGAGGAACATGGGCAGAGTCCAAGAAGCAATAATCCATTTTCGAGAGGCCATAAGGCTTGCACCTTGTCGCTTAGATTGTTACGAAGGTAAGTGTGAAGTATGAATCCGCAGGCAACTGCACTCAGATGAAAGGTGTCAGTAGGCCAGCATCTCCCAAATGTTGTATATTAGAATCGCCTGGGGAAGCTTTTAAACCTTCAAGCTGATCAAGCTGCCAGGTGCCCGTGGCAGGGGCGGGGGGTTTGGTGGGGTGGAGCACAGGAACTGTAGATAGGCACTGATGGTTTCTGAAGATCCCCCCCTCGTGCCATTATGCAAACTAGTTTGGGAATTACTGCATTAGGGCTTTCACTAGAATTTCTCCCCATCCCTTTTTGTATCTTTTTTTTTTTTTTTTTTTTTTTTTTTTTTTTGTAGTTTTTGGTAAAGGGTTAGTTGGGATAGGTACTTGGTCCTTTTTTTCCCACTTCAAACGTGGCCAGGTGATTAATGAGAATCTCTGTCAGGCGCTGTGCTAAATTTCTTGGTTATGTCTTTGTTCTCTTCACAGTTGTCTTATTTGAGTCAGAGATACTGCTCAAAAGGTAACTGCCAGGAGGCAGTGTGGGCTACGGGAACCAGTCTGTCCATTGTGACCTTCAGAGTGGGCACGACTGGGGTCCAGCTTGGTTTTGTTATGTAATGCTTTAAGTTCATGTGAACTGACCCTAGGAGTTCAAAGGAGCTGTGCCAGCTTCAGCAGCACTTGGTGACTCAGTCACAGACATTAAAATAGATCTAGAAGATGCAGTTCCTCTAAAACATATTTTTATAAGAATTTAAAAATAAACCTAGGAATCTAGGAGTGATTTGCTCTTAACAGGAAGATAAGTTCAAATCTGAGAAACAAAATTTGGATATTGGGGGAAAGAACAAATCTGCTTGTATAGACAGAGCTATGCCTGTTGTGGATTTGTGTGGGGAAAGGAGGTTGACTTTGATCTTGAAAGAACTCTAGGGAACTAAGCCTCTGGCTTGAGGCTAACCTTTTTTTTTCTTTTCTTTTTTTTTTTTTGGTACCGGGGATCGAACTCAGGTCCTTGCGCTTGCACAGCAGGCGGCGAAACCACTGAGCTAAATCCCCGGCCCTTTTTTATCTTTTTGAGACAGGGTCTCCACTATATAGTTCAGGCAGACCTTGAACTTGCTGTGTAGCCCAGGCTGGCCTCAAACTCATGGCAATCCTCCTGCCTCAGCCTCCCAAGTGCTGGGATGACAGGTGTGCACCACCACGCTCAGCAGAGGTTAACTTCTTGATCTTGCAACTGTAGCTTCCCTAGTCTCCCAGCAGCACTGATCGTGCTAACTCCATTTTTTTTTTTTTTTCCCTAACTCCTTTCTGCCACATACCTGTTTCACCTGAGTCAGGGATGCTGGTGGGTAACTCTGCTACCACAGTGCTTGGTTGAGGGGTGTTGGAGGAGTTCAGGCAGAGGACATTCCCCAGTTGGCCAGGGAAGCCTCATGGGCTGCCTTCCCTCTAGCTGTTGTGTGGAGGTTGGATTGGGGTAACTCTGGTTATGCCCTTTGGTGGTCTCCAATGGCACTCCCTTCCTTTGCCGGTGGACACCCTTCATTTGTGAAGGATAGTCTGTGTGTGTGTGTGTGCACATGTGCGTGTGCGTGCGTGCATGCGCTCATACTTGCATGCGCCACTGGGCCTTGGTGTGCTAAGGTCATGCTCTGCCACTGGGCTGTACCCTAGCCTGTGAGATGGATTCTTTAATTTTCCTTCCAGAGTTGCAGTGGAGCTTTAGCAGGGAAGTAAAACTACGCAGTGAGTAGTTGCAAACAACTGTGTTTGGAATCTCACGTGTTGCCCTTAAGAGTTAGGTAATTTCTGGTTAAGTAACCAAAGTGTGTGGAAGAGCATGCACAAAATGTTATAAATGCTGCTAGGATGGAGGAGTATGCAGAGAGAATCTGCCAGGAATTGTGTGGGTTTGGGGTTTAAGCTGTTTTTCTGTTTTGATGAGTGCATTGTGCTAAAAAGTTCTTCCTCTGTTCTCAACTTCTTGGCATGAAGAATTGAGTTCACTTTTCTTGAAGTGACCCCGTAGAGCATTTTGCTTTTGGGATGAAGAGAGATTGGACCTCCCAGTCTCATTATATTGGGTCCATCTGCTGTAAGTGCTTTCCTTCCAGTGTAGGGAAGCCCTCAGCAGGTGCCTTTGAGATAGCTTTTTGGTTTCAGATGGAAGAGTCTTCCTTTCTTCCTACATGGCTTGGTAGCAGGTTCTTTAGTTTGTAGAACTAAAACTTTGGGCCTGCCTTTGGCCTACAGGTGACTGAACACAGCTGGAAATAATGGCTGAAGAGGCAGTGGAACCTTGGTATCATTGGAAACTCATCTTTCACTGCTTTAATCTTCATACTCTTGCATACAGCAGAGTAATGATTAGTGTCACATTTGTTCTTTAGCCTTCAGATGGGCTGCGCATAGGCTGCCGTTTCCATTGCTAACGGGAGGTGCAGTTGCAGGACAGGTGCTCTGTTCCATCAGTGTGGCCTCCAGTCCAGTCTCACCATTGCTGTTCTGTCTGGCCTGCCCTAGGTCTGAAACCTTGCAGTTTGGGGCACTCTCAGCATGGAAGCACAGCTTGAGATGGTAATGTGACTGAACTTTGTTTTGATTTTTTTCAGGTCTCATCGAGTGTTACTTAGCATCTAACAGTATTCGAGAAGCAATGGTAATGGCAAACAATGTTTACAAAACTCTAGGTGCCAATGCACAGACTCTTACTCTTCTAGCCACTGTTTGTCTGGAAGACCCAGTCACACAAGAGAAAGCCAAAACTCTGTTAGATAAAGCCCTGACCCAGAGGCCGGACTACATTAAGGCTGTGGTGAAAAAAGCAGAACTACTTAGTAAGTATCTTATTTTTTGCCCAGTTCATCATTGATATTTGTAAAACCAAATCTCAGTTGGACTCCCAGCCCCAGCTGGTTACAGATGACCAGACAACTGTGTTTTTTGCATTCGATCTGAGCCTACTACAGTTGGTTTATATTTAGCACAACCAAAATGTAGCTGGCTAGACCTGCTTAGACTAGCTGAAACCAGCTAAAATTGATTAGTTTCTAGTTAGCTCTCTCTGTCTGATGTTAGTTGTCCTCAACTAGTGTAGCTAACTGATTTTAGCCAGTTTAAACTGGTTGTTTTTGGCCGGGGATTTAGCTCAGTGGTTTCGCCGCCTGCTGTGCAAGTGCAAGGACAGGAGTTTGATCCCCGGTACCAAAAATAAATAAATAAATAAATAAACTGGGTTTTTTTTGGTACCGGGTATCAAACTCGGCCTTGTACCTGTGAGGCAGGCTAAGCGCCACTGAGCTAAATCCCCAGCCCCTAAACTTTTTTTGAGCTATCTGGATTTTCTAACTACTTTACTTTTTTAGTGTCTATCTATCTATCTTTGTGGTACTGGGGATTTAACCTAGGGCCTTTGCACTACCACCCTGCTCTTTTTTATTTTTATATTTTAAAATTTTGAGACAGCGTTTCATTAAGTTGCCCAGGCTGGGTTCATTCTTGTGACCCTCCTGATTCAGCCTCCCAGAGTACTAGGATTATGGGCATATGCCACTCTTCCTGGTGGGTGTGTGTGTAAGAGTAGGAAGAATTTATTGAAAGATAGCTTCTGTCTAAGAGAGACAGAAGGGAAGCCGGAAAATGGTTTACCTAGCGACCCTGCTTCCTCGAAAGCACAAGGACCTGAGTTCCATTCCCAGTACCAAAACAAACTTGTCAAAGGTGTTTCTTGTTTGTTTGTTTGTTTTGGTACCGGGGATCAAACTCGGGTTCTTGCACTTGGGAGGCAGGTGGCAGCACTGCTGAGCTAAATCCCTGACCCTCTCAAAGATGTGTTTGTTTTTTTTGGGGGGGGGTACCTGGGATTGAACTCAGGACCTTGTGTTTGTGCGGCAGGCGCTGGAACCACTGAGCTAAATCCCCGCCCCTCAAAGATGTTTTATGGGACAAAGCCACAAGGTGAGGTGGGTTCAAGGTGGAATAAAACTATAGTCAACTAGTAAGATTGCAAGTACAGTTGCTTAGGTAATATGGCTGCAATGAGAAATCACGAGGTGGATAAAACTATGATCAATAAGATTACAGTAAGTATAGTCGCTTAGGTAATATTGATTAAATGGGGATCCAGTGGGGAAGCAAGTCACATAGCAAGCATATAAGAATTTTCAGTCAGGGACCTTTCCTGGAAGGGGTGGATAAGATCTTGGTCCCCCACTGAGATGATTGATACCTATTTAGAATATCAATCACTACTATTCATCCTGGGTGTGATAGTTTCTCTTCCCTTACAATGCTGGCCTTCAGTGAATGTGTCTTGATTGTCCATGTTGGCTCCTTGCATCCCAGCCCTAACTGCCTACAAGACATCTTATTAACTTGCCTATCTATAATACTCCCCGTTCTGAAGAAGTACCCCTAACTGCCATGAGGGGGCAAAGAGCGAAGACCAAGATCGTTCTGGGTACTTCCTATTTTTTTTTTAATTATAAGAAAATTTTAATTTTGGGTCACAGTTCTTGACCAAGATCAAGAAGCCACGTCTGGTGATGGTTTTCTTGCTGTTAAGAGTCCTGAGGCAGCACAGGGTGTCCTGTTGTGAGGGATGAAGAGTATACCTTGTGTCCCTATTTAGGAGATTTATGATGATCTCCTGGATTTGGGCTCATCGGCAGATAAAATGCATTTGGCTTTTTCTCTGAACTAGGGTTAAGAATACATTTCATAGATTCCCTCGGGCTTGGACTGCCGGTGGTACACGCGTGACTGTTCTGTCAGGCGGCACTTGTACCACTGGGGGGGAAGTGGTACAGTCATGGATGGACAGTCACACACGCATCCCTGCTGGTTCAAGCTGCCCCGCAGTGAGACACAAATTATAGCCCTGCTGCAAACGTGTTAAAAAGTTAGATCTCAAAAGAAAAAGTTCTCAAGCTGCACGTTTCCTAACAAAATAAGAATTGAGATGCACTTGCTCTTGCTCTGTCACACCGTCATTCCCTCGAGGATGTCTGCTAAGAAGTCATCAGATTGTGGTGGTTGGTATGGTTTTATGTATATGAGCTGAGCTGGGAATATATTTTCAAAATGCTGTTGAAGTAAGACAGTAAGGGTCTTTTTCTTTTCAGGCAGAGAACAGAAATATGAAGATGGAATTGCTTTGCTGAGAAATGCACTGGCTAACCAGAGTGACTGTGTCCTGCACCGCATCCTAGGAGATTTCCTCGTAGCTGTCAATGAGTATCAGGAAGCAATGGACCAGTATAGTATAGCACTAAGGTAGGCACCGCGCCTCCTGCGGGAAGGTCACAAGGAGGGTAGAGGCAGCAGCCAATGCAGGGCCGGTGATCCGACAGCGCGCACACACTGTGCCCACAGCTGAAAACAGAACAGTAATAGCAATGGCAGGAAAATGATAGAACTGTTTCACTCATAACCCACACCTTTACAGCATCCATGTTCATTTGTGTAGATCTTCCTGTCCTTGCCCACACACATACATACTTTTATAGGGTTATTCTGCATATATATTTTCTATCCTACTTTTTCAAATCAGAGTATTGTAAGTACTTTCCTGTGTTTCTAACTACTGTAGTAGTTGAGAACTTGAGTTCGAGTTTGAATGCTACCTTCACTCTCATCTTGGGCGTGTTACTGAGATTTCCTCGTCTCTGACCACTTCATGGGATATTCAGTAATTGAGGATTAAATGATTATTCCATGTGAAGCTCTTGGCACTGTGCCTGGTACATAGCAAATATGAAATAAATAGCGGTATTTGTACTGTTCAGTACAGCAGTGCTTTCTTCGAGGGTTGTCTGTATCTGAAGTCATGGTGAGGGGCTGTGTGTAATCGGGTCTGGTCACATCCGCCCCCTGCTAGTCACAGACAGTTGAGCAGCACTGTGCTCCTGGCGTCTTGGTGAACACTGGGGCTGCTGTGCTGCCTGGAGCTCTCAGAGGCAGCGGGTGCCTGGCCACAGCAGAGGAGAAGACGTGGGGGTTCAGAGGACGAGAGCTCCAGGTGCAGGTGAGAGCTGCACAAAACATCTCTGAGCAGGAGATGTGACAGATGAACCTACGTGTATGTGAAAAAGAACAGGAATCCAGTGTGGGTTTTGGCTGCTTTTGGGAAGTCCAGAAACAAGTGAAAAAAATTTTAAAAACAGACTTTGATTAGAGGTGGGATTTGCTGAGAATGGGACAGTTGGCTGGATTGGGTGGTCATGAAGTCAAGAGGAGAATGCTTAGAAGCCAAATAAATGTTCTGGAGGCGCCGAGCCTGGCAGGGTTTGGCACATGCGATGCACATGCCTGGGTAGGGGCAGCCTCGGGGCCTGGGTCGGAGCTAGGAGCTTAGAAGTCAGTTCCATGGTGCAGCACATTTCTGGGTGACAGCCGAGATCTGCTGCTGGCATGTTTCATTGCGTTATTGGAACACGGAACAATTGACCTGCATGAAGAATAACTTTTTTGTAATGCCATGGCTCAAACTCCCCTATTTAAAAAAAATTACATTTGAATTTTTCTCTCTGTTTGCTGGTAACCTCCTTTAGTGGGATGCTAGGGGCAACAGGTGTGAAAAAGTTTAAGAAATTTGTGAAGAAAAACTCAAATTGAGAACTCAAAGAATTAGGAAAGGATGCCTTTTTTTCACTTCTGGCATGGACTGCCTCAGTCCAGCCTTGCAAGCTGGAGTGGTCCAGAGAGGCCAGGGGTTAGCGTTTCCTCTGCGATCGTACTCATTTCACTGCTGGCCGGCTAGATGACAAATCAGCCCACGAGAAGCAAGGCAGAGATTCAGGCCTCTCCTCTGTTTTGTTGTCCCCTAGTTTGGACCCCAATGACCAGAAGTCTCTAGAGGGGATGCAGAAGATGGAGAAGGAGGAGAGTCCCACGGATGCCACTCAGGAGGAGGATGTGGACGACATGGAAGGGAGTGGGGAAGAAGGGGACCTGGAGGGCAGCGACAGTGAGGCGGCCCAGTGGGCCGACCAGGAGCAGTGGTTTGGCATGCAGTGAGGGACGCAGCCACCTCTCCCAGTGCTCCTTGGACCTGAGCTCTGGCTGGGACTTCATGTGACCACTAAATGAGCCCAGCCAGCCTTCCACGTACCTCCATCCTTCCCTGCTTCCCAGAGAGGACGGAGGAGACCCCGAGTCCGCAGCCTCTTGGGCCTGCAGGAAGGGGCCTTTGATACGCCAGCTGCCGCATCCAAAAGCTCGAGGACTAAATGGGGACTTGTGTTTGACCTAGATGGGTTTGAAGGAATGGCCCACTCTCCCCACAAGGCTGGAGGCTGGCCTGTTCCCAGAAGTCATCTTTCTGGTCTGTCCCCTACTGACCGGCCTGCCCTGGTAACAATGCCTTAAGCCAATGAAGTTTTCCTCTCTGCCATGGCTGGCGCCTCGCCTCGGTCTGGGCCATCTTGAGAAGTAGGCGTGACAGGAGTGTGACCAGGATGCACGGGTAGCTGCTAATAAACTGGTTTGTGCAGTCACTGTGTGTGGGGGAGCCTTTTAGAAACCTTTGCTGTCCTCTTAGAATGTGGTGGTCTGGCCCCAGAATTATTTGCCCTGGATTCCCTTTCTCTGAGTGTTGGGAGCCCTGGGGATTGAGAACCTCAGGTAGCCATGCACTGGTTCGTCCGTTTGGTTTGGGGAGGTGAATTTCCCCAGGCCTCAAGTCTCTGGCCAGATCCCTCATGCAGCTGCTCAGCTCCTTCCCTGGGCCGAGCTGGGCATGTGGATCAGCATCAGTCCTGGGCGTCCCCTGCAGTGGGTGCTGCAACTGTGCTGGGTGCTGGGTGTTGGGAGACTGTCACCGCCCTTGCCCTGCAGTTGGTGGTGAAGGAAAAGGATGTCAAAGCCAACCCCAAGTTTTCATTAAACAATGAATCAAAGGTGCTGTAAAATGTGAATTTGATGGTAAGGGAAAACGACACCCAGTGGGCAGTGGCTTAGGAGCTTAGAACATCTCATAACTGCAGTTTATAATGACAGTTACGTGAGTCTTTTCGTGTGAGGCCCAAAGCCTGTGCAGCATTGCTTGGTCTGAGCAGGAGCCTAGCAGGCGTCTGGGTCACACCAAGTGCAGTGTGGCCGGGAAGAGACTGTCCATTGGCCGGATGCCCATTCCTGGTGCCACCTCACAGGCTTCCTCAGCTCCACCACAGGCCTTGCTTTGACAGAAGACAAAACCTTACTTCCCCTACTCTGGAGGGAGCTCTGACCTGCAGGTCAGGATGTACCCCTGGCCTCTCTTTCCTCAGCGTATCCCTCGGCTCTGCTGGAGCCCTTGGTTCAGTGTGGCCTGTGTGTCCCCGAAGCTCTGGGCTGGGTTGCCCAGGCCCCTTCCTCTTCACACAGTCTCCGAGGACCAGGAAGCACCCCCCTTCAGCTGTTCCTTAAGCAGCTGCTGGGAAACCAGGCTGCCCGAGTAGTGGGTCATGCAGATACCTGATGGTGTCCCAAGTGTCGTCCTCCATCTCCCACCCAGCTCAGACCAGAGGGGCTCCAGGTGCTTGGCTGTGCAGCCTCCTGGGCTGAGGCTTCTGTGAGCCCAGGAAACGTTATTCAGCAGGGCGCCCTCTGAGCACCATCCCAGCTGGGAGAGCCGGCTGCTGGGGGCTGGGGCTGGCATTCCCTGAAGTCCTTTCTGCTGGGGTCCCGGCTGAGCAGGAAGCCAGACCCAGAGTCAGGGTGCTTCCTGCCCTTTGGTGTGGACTTCCCGTTCCCCACGCTGAGCTTGTGCTGAGTGCTGAGGACCTGCCCCTGAGAGCTTTGGGAGGGTTGCACTCCTGCTTCTAGATGTTTCCTCAAGATGAGGCCAGCTTCTGGCCAAATCTAATCATTAAACTTAAGAGTACTTCTCAGTGGGCTGGGGATTTAGCTCAGTGGTTCCACTGCCTGCTTTGCAAGCGCAAGGACCTGAGTTCCATCCCCAGAAAAAAGGAAAAAAAAAAAAAAAAGAGTACTCAGTGATACCACTTTCCAGCACCAAACCCTAAATTCAACCTAGGGTCAGGCTCTGGGACCCTGGGATCTGCATCTTCAGTCACTTCCCACCCTGATTTCCTGTTCTCTGCAGGTCTTTCTGGACCAGATACTGAGATGCCTGCAGGGCCAGCCCAAACGTGGCTGCTCAAGGGTTCCAGGAGCCACAGGCCTGACCTTGGAGGCTCCTGGCAGCTCCACTCTGCAGCTGCCTGTGGCTCCTGGCTCTCAGCCTGCACTGGCTCAGCCGAGGCAGGCTGGGGCCCGTGTGGAACCACTTCCTGAGATCGGGTGGGCCTCTCTACCCATGACCATCCTTGGGGCTCCTGCTCAGGCCTGCCAGGCCGGGGCTGCATTACCCACTGATGACAGGCAGCAAGGCCAGACTGGACATGCACAGGAAGGCTGCTGAGGTGAGTGTCTCAAGTTTTCCAGTCCCCAGGTGCCTCCCTGCTGCAGGGCAACAGGCGGGCCTCAGCCTCCCCCTCCCCTCCCCTCCCCTCTGAGGCTCAAAGACCTCGGGAGCTCCGAAGACCTGCCGGGCCTCATGGGCCCTGGTCAGGGCCAGGGCATAGAGTTATCCCAGGTGGCCTGGGAAGATGACGATTGCTGGCAGAGCCACGCTTGTCTCTTATTTCACAAAACAGCATGGCAACACTGGGAATAGGCCAAGACCCCGCAAGTCAGCTTCCTTAGCCATTAAAACATCAATTTAAAAATCAGAATACCCTGTGCATTGTCGGTGGGGATACAGAATGGTGTAGCTGTTGTGGGACAATCTGCCATCCGGTCCAGCAGGGGACGCCCAGGGCCATGAGAGGGGACTCAGACAGAGATGGGTGCGCTGTGTCCTTGGTGTTCTCAGCAGCCGTAGGCAGCCGCGCCCAGCTGTTCACAGACATGAGTGGATAAATAGAACGTGAGCGCTTTAGACAGCGGACTATTACAGATGCTCCTCATTTAACAACCTGCAGCTTCATGAATGTTTGTTCGGACTTACGACTCATCTTTTTTTTATATACAGTTCTGTACATCTTGTTTATAGAGCCCCCATGTCTTTTGTGCAGTACCTCTTGTTTATACAGTACAGTAATGCAAAGCCATCAAGTTGGAGTTTCCTTTGATCATTCTTTGTTTTGAATATTGTAGAGTATAGTTCTTCACTTAGTGTCCAGTGCATTTGCTGACCTTGCCTCAGGAATGGGACTCAGTAGTTAAACAAGGAATGTCTGTATTCAGCCTGAAAAAGGAAATTCAGACACTGCAACATGGGCAGACCTTGACATTATGCCGAGTGTGAGCAGCCACATGGAATGTGTCCCAGGTACTTAGAGCAGTCAGATTCAGAGACAGGAGGTAGACTAGAGGTTGCAAGGGGAGGGAGAGGTCTAAGTGGCCCAGAGTTTCAGCCCAGATGGTGACAGAGGTTTTCGGGCAGAGAACCCTGAGGGTTGTGCAGTGTGGATATACTTAATGCCGTTGAGCTGCACTCTTAAAACCAGTTCAAGGGGCCGAGGATTTAGCTCAGTGGTTTCGCTACCTGCTGTGCAAGCGCAAGGACCTGAGTTCGATCCCCAGTACAAAACAAAAAAACAAAAAAACAGTTCAAATGTCAAATCTTAGATTTTTAACACAAAAAAGTAAAGAAAGTGCCTATAATCTGGCCATTAGATAACTCATTACCACATCTTAATTTATGTGAAGTACAGCATGTATTTGTAATGTAAAAATATATGTGGCTAAAAAAATTCAAACAAACCCGAGTGTGGTGGCGCACACTTGTAATCCCAGCATTTGGGAGGCTGAGGCAGGAGGATCACCTGAGGCGTTGTGGGTTTTGTTTCCTGCCTCAGCTGGCCTCACCTTCAGCCTCCTGGCCTCCCCTGGCTCCGCTGGGGCCAGTCTTCCCCAGGAACTTGTGATTTGTTTTCACTGCTATTTCTTTTTCCTTTCTTTTTTCAGTACTGGAGATTGAACTCAGGGACTCAAGCTACCCTCCAGTGCCTCCCCCATTTTAGTTTGAGACAGGGTCTTGTTAAAGTTGCCCAGGCTGGCCTTGAACTGGTGATCCTCCTGCCTCAGCCTCCTCAGTGGCTAGGATGACAGGCGTGTGCCAGTGGCTGCTGTATCTTGACTGCTTGGGGCCAGGCCACAGAGCAGCCTTGGCTAATGATCACCTCAGCCTCGAGATCCTTGAAGTGGGAGAGGAGGACTTGGTGCTGGTCACCGAGAAGCAAGCTGGGGCCCGGCGGACCTGTTCGCTGTTTTGTTCTGCCAGGGCCTTGCTCCCTGGAGCTGCGATCTCCACCCACCCTTCCCTTATGTTCAGATAAAAAGGTCCTCCGTCTCCTCTGTCCCTGAAGCCCTAGGGCCCCTCAGGTTCAAAGGCTATAACAGCATCGTCTCAGTACGGGTTTCACAGCCACTTAAATCTTCCGTGTCTGTCTCTCTATAAACAAGCCTCTGGTGACCTCCTCTGTGCTCACAGCTTTTTCCTTCTTTGGGTAAATTCCCAGCAGGGGGATTTCTGAGGAGCAGCGTTTGCTCTGGGAACTCTGCAGGGGGCTGGCTGTCCTCTCCCTATTGCCGGCCTCCCACTGCCAGGCTGAACCAGGGCCCCCGAGCGCCACCCTGCTCACCCCGGCCTTCTTGGTCTTGGCCAGCTCTTGTGGGGCTCTCCTGGAGGTGATCAGACTGTGCTTGCTGGGGTCATTGAGCTGCATTTCTGGGGTCCCTCAGAAGGGTTCCCTCTGACACTGGTTGTGAGGCCCTTGGCCTCTGGTCCCCTGTGCTGTCACTGGGTGTGGGCGGAACACAGCAGGGACGTCAGTGCCCAGAGCCCTGGGGTGGTGGATGTGGTGGGGCCTTTGGGCCTGGCGTCCTGTGGCTGGAGCCTTGTCCTCCTGCCCTTGCCCTGGACCAAGTGCCAAGCCTGCTCCTGGTGAACTTAGCTCTACTCTGCAGCTCGGTCCCCACAGCCTCAGGGATTAGGGCCATGAGTGGGAATCTCAGTGACAGCGTCCCGTCCTGACGAGCCCCCGTCCCAAGGGGCTGACTTGAGTGACCCACAGTGTCCTTGGGCCAGCCGGCTCTGCGCTGTCCCTACAGTGGCTGCCACCGCCTCTTCCTGGGCCTTGACGGCATGTGCTGGGAAGGGACAGGTGGCCTGAGCACACCCCCCAAACGCAGTGCTTCCCGGAGTGGTGGGCCCAGTGCGAGCTGACATGTGGGGGGCAAGCGCCGTCATCCTGGGGAAGTCAAAGCCGTGCGTGTGGACAGCCCGCGGTGACCTCAGGCCGGCCCGTCGTGGTTTGTCTTTGTTCAGAAAGTAAGACTTGGGGCTGGGGCGAGGCTCACGGCAGGGCGCACACTTAGCATTGGCACAGCCTGGGCTCAGTCCCCAGATCACACCCGGAAGCAGTGTGTGAGACAGTGCACACAGAAGCACATGGAACTTGTGCCTAGAGACCCCAACAAGTGCATGCACACAGCACACAGTTGAGAATAGAATGTTGCCATCACCCCAGAAGCGCAGCCTGTCCTGTCCCACCCCTCTGTCTGTCCCTCTGCCCTTCCCTTCCTCCCTCCTCTACTCTCTACCCCTGCTAGAGGTAGCCACTATCCTGAATTGTGTTTGTATGTACACATATATTTATTTGGGGTTTTTGAGACAGGGTCTCGCTATGTAGCCCAGGCTGGCCTCAAACTCGGGACAGTCCTCCTGCCTCAGCCTCCTGAGTGCTGGGTTTTCAGGTGTGAACTACCACACCCAGCTTTGAATTTAATTTTTATACTACTTTGTTTTCTGAACCTAACCTTGGTTAAATAATGACCTCATTTTCCTTGCTTGTAACATACTGTTATTCCCTTGTCTCATTTTTAGTTTGCCCATAATTTTATCCTAAACAGTATGTACTTGCTTCTTGAACTTGTAAATGGAGCCGTGTTTTTTCATATCTTCTGCTTAACATTTAAGAAATTGGTTCATATTAATACTGCTATAACTTATTCATTTTTTATTAATAGACTTTTTGTGTTTATTTTTGTTTTTGGTACTGGGGGTTGAACTCAGGACCTTAGGCTTCCAAGGCAGGCGCAGTACTGTTGAGCTACATCCCTGGCCTGGTTGTTTTTGAGACAAGGTTTCATTGTGTTATCCAGGCTGGCCTCAAACTCCAGGACTCATGCAATTCTCCTGCCTCAGCCTCCCAAGTAACTGGGAATATATATAGGTGCACACTAACATGCTTGCCTTAATTTTGAAGTGTTTTGGTTTGGTTTTTTGGTGATACTGGGGATGGAACCCAAGGGTGCTCTACCACCGTGGTACTTTTCGAGTCTTATTTTCATATTTTTATGGTACTGGGGATTCACACAGAACCTCATCCCCAGCCTTTTTTATTTGAGGCAGGGTCTTGCTAAGTCACGGAGTTGCCCAGGCTGGGGCTCAAACTTGGAGTCTTCCTGCCTCAGCCTCCCTCAGTACCAATCTGGTTCTTTGGGGTGTGGGATTTTGTGTGTGTGTGGTGGGGATTGAACCCAGGGCCTCGCACACACCACACGCACATTTTACCACAAGCTGCACCACCAGCCCTCAATTTCTTTTTTTTTTTTTTTTGGTACCGGGGATTGAACTCAGGACTTTGCGCTTGCAAGGCAGGCGCCGGAACCACTGAGCTGAATCCCCGGCCCAAGCCCTCAATTTCTTAAAGATTCACATATAATACATTTGAACAGATAATGAAATTTGAGCAACTGTGAAATCTCCCCATCCTGCCTTTCTTCCCCTCATCCCCTCTCCAGAAGCAGCCATATCTCCTGGTTTCATTTTGCACAGTCCTGAGGATTGAACCAGGGGCCTCATGCATGCTAAGCAAGCGCTATGCCACCGGTCTCCATCCCCAGCCCTGTTTCTGGTATATGTTGAAGTCACGTCAGTTTACGAGTATAGACCACCGCTCTTTATTTGCAGAGTTCATCAGTTTCTTGTCTCCATTTTTGGTGCAATCTGGTTCTTAACTGGTTAAGATTTATAAATAAATACAAAGGTTACACATTGTATATTGAAAATCACCAACTAAGGTATTTCTGTGTAGTTTCCAAACTTAGCCATTTTATAATTTCTCCTAATTTTGACAGAAAACAACCAGCTGAAGTTGGCCAGCAGGCGCCAGGCAAGCACTGGCCTTGTTTCCCACCTGCAGCCTTGTTGCAAGTGCAGGCGGGGCTGAAACAGGGACAGGAGGGATGTGCTTCAGGGACTTTGTTGTTGTTTTTCTTGAGACAGTCTCGCTGTCCCATCCAGGCTAGCCTTGAACTTGAGGCGAACCTCCTGCCTCAGCCTCCTAAGTGCGGGGATTACAGGTAAGTTCAAATTTTATTTAAGTCTACATTTTAAATTTAACATTACCAAACATCACAATGAGGGAAAAAAAAAAGAACCCAGAACACAAAAGAAAAAGATAAAAGAAAAAAACAATATCCCCACAGTGTATCAAGGCTTGAGAATTTAGTTTCTGATGTATAAACTGCCATGGGCAGAAATTAGCACATCTATCAAAAATACAGTGCCAAACTAATTTACATTTTTATACAGATCAAAATGTGTTTATTTAGTATTTTCATGGATGCATTATGTAAAGAAAGAATCAGATGAACCTCTGAAGACATCTCATAGACTCTGGGCTCGGCATGAGGACTCTTGACTGTGCTGATGCAGTGCCATTTAGGATCGTGTCTCATTTTCCTTGCCATTCATTCTCACTCAGTCCCTTGGGCTCTCTCTCCTGCTGCTTTGGTCATTTGCTATGTTTGAACTTTTGGTTTCTCCCATGGGGACAGCAGCGAGCTCGTCATGTCCACAACTGACAATGACTTAAGTCCCCTCTGTCCTGTATCACCTTGGCTCCACTCACTCCTGTCCCCATCAGGACTCTGCCTTGTGTGGCATCTGCAGGGAAGAACTAGCTCTGCTTGTCTGGAAATGCCTATTTCACCTGAGTCTAAATCCCAAGTGGACCCCAGGCTCACTCAGCTCTTCTGGCTCCTGTCGTCACTTAGTGGTCATTGTCTGCCACTCCTTGGAAGGAGCAGTCCTCCTACCCCCACCTTGGGTCCCCCTGCCTCAGCCGCCCAGTGCTAGAATGGCTGGCCCGGTGCAGGCCTCTTCAGGGAGTGTGGTCAGGCTTCCTTGGATCTGGCAGGCGTTCCCTGTAATTAGATGGGCAGGGCGGCATGGTTGGGAGGATCCTGGGCGAAACAGCCCTGTCACCTGGGGGGAGGGCACTGCACCATCGGGGCACGGCACCCAGGATGGCGTCACCGGCTCAGGTGGTTTGCTGACCTGGGCTGCCTGGCTGAGTTAGTGTCTGTCAGCTTCCTCCCCTCCAGCCCCACTGGTTGTCCCCTTTTGGAAGAAGTCGCCATCCCATCTGAGAGGACTCCTCCCAGGCCCTTCCCTCTTCCACTTGTCAGCTCACGAGTGACATCTGAGTTCCCCTCTGCTCTGCTCTGTGTCACTCAGGCTGCCCAGCACGCGCCTTTCATGTCTGCCCCAACCCTCCCTGGCCTGTCTCACCATCCCGGAACCCTCGTTAGGGGTACTGTCCGCAGTGTGACTCCGGGGGCTGCAGGGGGCACTGGGAGAAACCAGGAGTGTGCCGAGCTGTGTGTACACATCACTGCCAGCATTCTGTATGGTGCCCTCCGTGTCCACATAGGGGCTCATCTGGGAGCCTCCTACCTGAATCAGAGCAAGTCACCACACCCCTTACTCTGGGTCCTGGCACCTATGTCCCAGCATTCCGTCACTCAGAGACCATCAGTACTAGAAACTGTAAACTTCTCCCTATTTGAAAACAATGAATGGTAGAGGCTGGGTGTGGTGGTACACACCTGTAATTCCAGCACTCAGGAGGCCGAGGCAGGAAGATCCCTGCAAGGCCAGCCTGAACTGTAGGAGACTGTCTCAAAAACAACCAAAAGAATGGCAGCACATTAGTTGGTAAACTGCTCTGCATTTAAGCATTTCCTAGGCAGATAATGCATCCTGGACAATGCTCTAAGCTAAGCATGCAGGCCTCTCCTTTTCAAGGGCATCGCAATACTCCATGATTAAACGGTTTACTTTACTCAGCATCCTGCCTAGAGTGGCTCCCAGGTTATCTACCCCCAGGCTCTTGCAAACAGTGCATTCTCTGACCCGTAACTCCGTGCAAGTGAAGGCCTTCTTTGGAACCCCTGCGGACTGGGGACTGTTCCTCTGTCCGCCTGAGCACCTTTGTGCTGCTGTCCACAATGGAGAGAACCAGCCCAGGCTTTGAGATCTTTGCCCATTGCATGTTTAGGAAATGAAATTCTCAAATACAGCACAAGGATCTTTTCAGGACCCCGAGAGGGTGAGTAGTATGCAGAAACTGCATTTTGTGCTTCCCGCTTTCTGCTATGGGGCTGCCTGTGTGGGGCCCTGGACTTGATCCTTCATACTGCAGAACCCACCCGGACCCAAGGCAGGGCACCGACTGCCCATCTCGAGCCAAACACACGGTGTCCTGTGCTGTGCACTCGGCCCACTGCAGTTGACTCCTCATGGCGGCTGGGGACAAGGCCGGTGACCAGGTCCATCTTGGGGTTTTGCCAGTGGGGTAAGAAGCTTTTTGTATTTACAAACTACTCAGAATTTTTGTTAAAATATTTAACTGACTTGTTTTAGGGGATCGAACTTATTTTCATTGTCCGTCAATCCATGTGGATTCTTTTGGGGACTGTTTCTTCTGAGTTGCCTACTCACACAGTACCTTTGCCTTGTAACTGAAACGCCCCCTTCTCAGGCCACACATTCCATTCCTAGGGCTTCATGCTTTGTTAGGCACAGCATGCATCCCTGTCACTTTTTCTGTCCCTCTTCATTGTCAGAATGGCCTCAGCCCTTTCTAGAGATTGGAACTCCCTAAGTTGCTCGGGGGGCTGGCCTCAAGCTTGCAACCCTCCTGCCTCAGCCTCCCAAGTGAAGTGGCAGGACTGTTTAGGTGTACACTACCATCCCTGGCCCATCCTAATTAAGTGACCAAAGAACTATCTTAGGAAACTTGGGGAAGTATCTGGCAAGTAAGCACTAAATAATGCTGTTTGGATCATACTTCACCTCTTTCCCAAGTCTGTGAACAACATGTCTCGTTTACACTGTGCATTTGAACAGTATCACAAGCCTCTCTGTTGCTAGTCTCCACATTTTTCAGTCTGCTGACAACTTTGACAGCTGATCTCGGCCTTCTCACAAAGTTCTCTGAAGAGCCCTACTCCCAGCACTCAGGAGGCTGAGGCAAGAGGATCACCGTGAGTTTGAGGCCAGCCTGTTACATAGTGAGAATAACCCTGACTTACCCCCCCCCCCAGAAGCCCAGGAGAGTCCATACCACACAGAGATTTTATCATAGAATAGATTTATTTACTGGAAACCACATCTGTGCAGCACCTGTTGTTACCAGCACAGAAGTGAAAAAACCGACCTTTATTTACAGTCTAGTCAAACATGCGTTGTGATAAATTGACGCTTAGCATCTGATTAAGATAAATGCATCACAATATTTGTATTGCACCAACATCTGTCTACTGCTTCAGATTTCATTAAATAAGTTACATTTAATACAGTGCAAAATAGCTGTCTATGCACACTCAAAAGTAACAGGTTATGAACTGAGACCTACATTTTAACCACTCAACACCTGTAAAGTGTTTTAAATGAATTTATAAATAAGCAAACTGTACAGGGCCAATTAAAAAGTAGCAGGTCTCAGTGTCACTGCAGGGAAATCTGGCTACTTACACCGGAGGCATGCATTACAGCCAAGCATTGTACATTTAGAGAAGCTAAGACATCTGCAGAGAAATGCGGAGACTTGGCTGATGCTTCTAGGCTCGTGGATAAGGTTGCAGAACCTCATTCTTCTTGCAGCAAAGAAACCAAACTTCTCTGGAAAGGCTTTCTGATTTCATTAAATTGTACATCTGTAAGTATTATTTTGATTTAAAAGCTAAAAACCCCATTGGTAATACACATTTCCTCCACATTACACACAATGAGCTGGGAACCCTGTCTACTTTTCCTTTTCCCCAACATGAGTCATGCAGAGGCTAGTAGATGTGTTGCTAAAAACGCACATGCACGCAACCGAACCGAACACCCTTACATTTCTGCAAAACGGTTTAGGAAGCGGTTACTCCAGTATTGCTGCAAAGGAAAGAGAGAGGAAATCAGCTTCATGAACCATGGGAGAAAATGTGAGAGTAACTACCTAAGACTCAGACCAACAGGGACAGATGAGAAGGGGCACTCAGCTTAATCTCAGAGACGTCAAGACAGCATTTCAGATCAACTGTCCTGGAAGTGCCACCCACCCAGGCTGCATCTAGAAGCAGTGGCTCAGTGACTGTGTCCTCGGGCCATCCACCTACTTGTAAAGCCGCCCTGATCCACCCCAGGTACGGAGCAGTGACAGCGGGAGGAGAGGTCGGGGTGTGCAGGAGGCGGGTGGCGCAGGAGTGAGCAGGGTGGCACCAACACCTCATCCACGCCCCCCTGCCCCCTGGCAAAGTGCTGAGCCCTGGCTGCCGCCTGCCCTCTCCTTTCCTAACTGCAGGGCACAGGCCTGGTGCCAAGAGGCCGATGCAACCTGACCTCGCTCTTCGCAATGTGGTGGGCTGTGGGCTGCGGTGCAGTGCGGGCAGTGAGCTAATGCTTGTGGCTGCCTCTGCCCTGGGCAGGCCTGGCCTCGTAGCATCTCAGGTGCTGTGCTGGCAGCCACTGTGAGGCCGGCCGGCCCACCTATCCTGGCAGGGTGGCACCTTAGCTCCCTACCGCACTTAGCGTAGCTGCTGTGCCCTGGGCTCGAGGCAAGCTCCACTGAGCAGGACCCCCTGCAGGCTGGGGCATGGTGGCTGAAGAACCTCCACCCAGGCAATGCTGTCCCTTACCGAGGGTGCTGGGACAGGGCTCGGGCCAAGACCCCAGTGGCGGTGGCCCTGGGCTTCCCAGGCCAACTAGACCGAGGGAGGAGGTGCAGTCGCTTTCAGCCGGCCATGGCCGCTACAGGAGGGACTGAGGGGGCCTAACCCGCGCCTGGCTGTCGAGGCTGAGGAAGTGGCTGCCCACTGAGCTTCCCTGGGCCACAGGGGCCCGGGGCTGAGCAACTATACCAGCAGTTGGCTGGGCATCTGTGGGTGTGCCTGGCTCCCGCAGCAGCCACCCCACTCCACTTTTGTAAAGGCTGCTAAATCAAGGAACTGAGTCAGGGAAAAAGCTATTTGATTAGTTTGGTTTCCACTGTGCAATGCCCCACCCAGCAAACCCAGACATCCTGTCCTGGTCTGCGGCTCAGAGGCACTGCTTGCATTTGACCCACTCACCCCATGGGTACCTGCAGAGGCCTGGTGCCCACTGCCCATGACCACACCTTCAGCCAGTCCCCCGTGCACCCTGGGCCTCGGGACGAGGTTCCAACACCTGCAGCGCACCGGGCCAGCCCAGCACCAGAGTCTGAGGACCTTCCCTCCCAGGAGCAGCTGGGCCTTGCTACTTGGCCACCTCAGGCCGTGAACAGCTGGGCTGGGGGACGAGCAGCGCTCTGCCCGGCACTGCAGGGTCAAGCCTCAGCCACAGAAGCTGTGACCTAGAAAGGCAAGGGAGCTGGCCCATTTCAGATGAGCCAGTGCTGTCTGAGTTCACTGTGACTTGTGCTGCTGGCTCAGAGGTGTGTGGGGTGACTCTGCTTCTAAAAAGGTCAGAAGCCCCACTGCGTGGGTCTGAGGCCTCCCTCCGCACCAGAGGCAGCCCAGCGCCCGGCTTGCAGTCTGATGGAGCGGCAGCCCTCACGGCCAGTGTATGGCACAAGCCCAGCATCAGCATCCCGCAGAGCTGCTGGCCAGGCACCATGCGGAGCCTGGGAGCTGCACCTGAAGCCAGCAAGGGCGGCACAGAGGCTCCCATGTCACCCTGTGGCTGACACTTCTACCCTTGCCAGGGCAGCCTCACTGGTGGCGTCACCTTGGCTAAAGCATGCCAATTCCAGGGGAGAAAATACTCACGTTAGTTGATGGATGATGGAAGGCATTGGAGGAAAACACCACAGTTAGGACTGTTAATGACTCATACGCTGCTGTAAGACTGAGCTTGAACATGCGCAAACTTCTCAGATAATGGTGGTGGTTAGTGCCACATTCAAATAAAAATAGTTCTATACAATATGTTCATTTGGTCATGGGCTATTTACAGATTTTACAAAACACACACACCCACAGACACACACACTTCCCTTACATTCCAGGCTACACGCAGGCCAGCAGAGACTTGCATAAAATGTGCATGACAGATGACAGTGTGCACCCACACGTTGTCAGTCACATTTCCACGACTACCTATGCAGCAGAACAGGACCCCTCTTGCCCTCAAGCACAGTAAACTAAAGTTCTGAAACAACTTAAGAGAAAGATGGACTATCTATGAGATAGTTCAAGATAAGCCACTTAAGAACAAGACAGTTATTTTTCTGTCCATTTAAAATGTTTTATTTTTCTTTTAAAACTAGATTGTGAAGTGCCACTGAAATAGGCGATGTTGGCAAAACAATGTCTGTTACAATAAAGTCCATTAGACATTTAAATAAATAACCTTAAAAACTATGTGGGACACGACCCCAGTTGACCGAATCTGGAACAATGTTTTCTGCACAAGTGAGACAGGCATACCTCCGAAGACGGTGTCAATAGAACCGAGACCCTAGAGACCCTAAGAAGCCGAGTGGGGCAGGCAGCGGGGTTGAGTGGAGGCAGGTGGTGAGGGAGTGGCCAACCAAAAATACTGACTGAGGTAGCGGACTCTGCTCAGTGCAGAAAAATTGGCTTATGAATAATTAGACTGTGATCTCAAATTAAATCCAGGTAATCATGCAAAAGATAATACATGCTATTTAGTTTTTCTTAGAAACCACACACATTCATTTCCTAAAATCTGCTGCCAATTAATTTGCTGACAATGTCTGCTGGCTCAACTATTTTTTATACAAGGATGAGTATTAAACAGAACACTGTACATGCTTTTTCATCTACAAAAAAATATTTGCATAAAATAGTGTTAGTTCTCTGTACATGTCAATGGACACTTTAATTATGTGTATAAAAAAGGAAAATCTTGAGCCCCACTGGAGTCAGAAAAAGCAAAACAAAATGTAGAGTATGAAACCTCCTTCACCAGCCAATATGTTCATGTGAAAATTCAGCAGAAATAGACAGTTGCTTTAAACAATAAAAAATTAAGTTAGACATCTTCTGGATGGAGAACTGTCAGTCAAGACCAGAACATATCACTAAAGTTAGTGTCTGTGCTATAGACCCAGACAACCAGGGGCATTATGAGCAGCACAAACGGCCAGGAAATCCCATCGGTGCATGCCGAAAACGAGCAGGATTTGGTGGGAGGCTGCACACACTCTTTACCAGGTTCCAGGTAGTTGCGGGCCACAAACTTGAGCGTCTCATCCATGAGAATCACAGGCAGGGAGATTTTCAGCACCATCAGCCACTGGGTCACGTTCAGCGGTGTGATCTGGAAGATGAGCTGAGGGACAGAGGCCGCATCATGGCCCCACCCTGGCAGAAGGGTGCCCTGCCCAGGCCCCACCCAGCTCCCACACTCACTGGCAAAGGCTCCACGTAGAGGATCAGGAAGTGGAGGGACATTGATAGGCAGATGGACCCCACGAGCCAGATGTTCTCCCATGGGGGCATCCTCAGCAAGGACTGGTTTTCAGATAGGCTGAGGACAGGGAAGGGTGGTGAGCTCAGTGAGGAGACAGAGCCCCCATCCTGACCTCATTCTCATCCTAGGCACTCAAGTTTCCTTCTGCGCAAAGTTAAGGCAGAGAACATGCAGATGTAGGACAAACTGTCAGCAGATCCCCCTCAGTGGGCCCAAAGCTGCCTGACTGCCCTGGACACCTGGGCTATTTAGAAATTTCCATTTTTGTCACTGGCTTAATTGGATGGTACCATTTGCCTCAATGCTGAAGGGTGAGAACCCTGCCCCACGGGACTCAACAAGTACCACCGTTTTCCCTGCTCTTTCTTGGCCTCTGCCGCTTCTGTTAAGGAACAGCTCTAAACACGTGGCTGAGCACTCCCTCTACTTCCTGGAGGTGATGACAGCTTAGGGTTTGCAAACCGGTGCTGCACATTCTCCTTTCTGTGGGAAGAAAGGGCTTTCCCAAGACCTTCACTGACCCCCCAGTGCCCCAGTGCTCAGTCTGCTGCAGACTCACCTGTTGAGGGCGTTACACATCTCTATGGTTACTAGAACAGACAGGGCCATTGTCATCGGGTATGGGGACTCAAAGATGGCACAATCTACTCCTGCAAAGTCTGGGTTGTCCTCTTTACACTGTAGAAAATGACTCTGCAACAGAAGTTCATGGTTATTCCCAATCAGCTGAGTTTTCCTTTTCCTCTTTAGTGGTACTGGAGACTGAACACCCAGAGCCTTCACACTGACCTACATCCCCTAGCGCTTTATTTTGGGACAAGGCTGCCAAGTCACTAAGCTGCCCAGGCTGGGATGAAACTTTCAGTCGTCCTACCTCAGCCTTCCTCCCAGAATGCTGGGATCACAAGCATCACCATGCCTGACCCGAGCATTTTCTGAAGTCCTGGCACCAATTCCACCCCAAGCCCAGATCTCAGACCCAGACAAGTGCAGAATGGTCATGGGTTTCATTCGAGCTCTGGACCCTGAGATCCATCTCAGGTACAACGCCTACTGCTTGCGTTAGGATGATTTGACAAGACACCTAAACCACAGAAAGAGCAAGGTCTTGCAACACCTCACATCCCAGGAACAGAAAGGAAGGGGCTAAATACCAGCTGGTAGAAGGACACTCTGGGACCACCATCGGCAGCGATGAACCACCATGCAGCAGCACCCACAGTCGCGGCACCAACATAACCTGGGAACAAACATGATGCTGCTGATGCACTTGGGGCTGTGGCCGGCACTACTCAGACGATGCCCTTTTGGGTTTAGGTCTAAAATGTCTTCAAAGGCCAGGGATTTAGCTCAGTGGTTCCGCCGCCTGCCTCGAAAGCGGAAGGTCCTAAGTTCGGTCCCCGGTACCCACCCCCCCAAATTAATTAATTAAAGTAAAATGTCTTCAAGGCTCGTGCTCAGAGGTGGGGCCTTCAGAAGGGACTGATTGTGGGAGCCCCATACTCAGTGGATTAATGCACTGATGAGTTCCCAGCTGACTGTGCTGCTAGAGGAGTTCGTCACTGAGACCTGGATGGGGGCATCTTGTCCCCAGCCCCTTCTCACTCTGCTTCTGGCCCCAATGAGGCCAACAGCTTTCCTGTGCCAGGCCGCTCCACTGTGCTGCTTTTGCCTTGGAGCTAGTCCAAAATGGACTGAAACAGCTGAAATCATGACCCCAAATAAACCTCTCTTCCTTTAAGTTGAGGATGTCATGTATTTTGTCCCAGCAACAGGAAAGTGACTAATACCACAAGGTTCCAGAAGGATGGGGGCATTTCTGGTTCAGAACCCAGAACCTTTCCTCCAGTGCCCATCACCCCCTCCACTGTCCTCTTACGAGGGCACCCTCTATAACGCCGAGTGAAGGCTGCAGACCCATGTCCTCCACATGAAGCCAAACTCCTGGGAGCCAGGCCCCATGTGACCTTTAGGCAAGTGGAGGCCACCTGGAGAGACATGAACCCATCTGCTCATTCACAGGCCCGGCAGAACCTCTCTATGAAAGCCCTGTTAGAGCAGCTGGTGCTCAGCATTGAGCAGCAGAGCAGAGCCCAAGGCAGATTATGGGACTCCTTCCTCATGGACTTGAATTTAGGAAGGTGATCACAAAGAACCAACGGAGAACAGACTCTCAGACTGTCCCCACAAGGCAGCATCTTCTCAAAATGACAAGTGCTCACACTGCTAACCCAGGGATTACAATGAGCATTAAGGCAGCTGGTCACAAGGAAGAGGCAGCTCTATGTGTACCGCTATGAGACTTCCTAATAGACAGGAAGAATTAAAGACAAGACTGTGCCAGGGATTTAGCTCAGAGGTTCCACCGCCTGCCCCACAAGCCCAAGGTCGAGTTTGATCCCCAGTACCAAATAAACAAACAAATAAATAAATAAATATAAATAAAGACAAGACTGAGCACTACCACCTTCACAGTAGGAAAACAAACTGTCTGCAGGAACCTCAGGGAGGGGACACGCTCCCTGAGAAGCTGAGCACCCAGCCACTCCGCACCACTGTGTGAGGGACTCCAGGGAATGCTCTCACCTCTGACTCGCATATCCCTGACCTATGATACGGAAACGAGAATCAGCCCTTGGTCGGGAAGAGGGCCTCAGAGGTTTACACGACATGGCCCATGCATGCACAATGGCATGTGAGTGATCTGTTTCTCAGGGAATGGGAACTCAGTTTTTACACTGGTGATAATTATCTATTCACCTCTCACCTATGAACCCTTAAAAGACAGGACCTCGCCCAAATTATCAGGTATCCCTTTGTGTACACAGCAAAGCGTGAAAAACTTGCCATCTAACTGCTCATTCACTAAAGCCCCAGGAAGGGTAGGATGCTAAACAGAGAATAACTGCAAAGCAGCGTTAGGTAAACTGAAGATACAGTTCGTGAACCTGGGAGAGTATCCTCAATTTTTTGTTACCCTAGTATGGGGAAAGAAGAAAAATGTGCTTTTAAGGAATAAGTTTACTGAATTTTGGCCCATAAACATTTTGTTTAAAAGTCAACATTAAAAAAAAACAAAAAAAACTACTCACAGCCAATAGCCAGGTAACGGAAAAAGAGCCAACCGCTGATCAGTGGTTCCTTTGGATTCCGGGGTGGTTTGTTCATGATGTCCAGATCAGGAGGGTTGAAGCCCAGCGCAGTGGCAGGCAGGCCATCTGTGACCAGATTGACCCAGAGGAGCTGTACAGGAATTAAAGCCTCGGGAAACCCAAGGGCTGCTGTCAGGAAAATGCTGTTTCCACCCAAGGAAAGAAGAGAAAGACCCTCAGTGAGTTCTGAGAACTACTTAAGCAGCACCACTGCCCCTCCTCCTCCATGCAGTCCCCTGCGAGCAGCTAGGATCACCTGGACTACCTCGAGGGAATCACAGACCATCTATTATACCCCAGGTGGAATCAGTGTTCACTTTCAGAGTCAAGAATTTTGACTGTTTCATTTAAACTCACTGTTGTTACAGAAGTCTTTTTATATTTGCACAGCTGCAGACCCTCGCCCACTGCGAGGTCCCACTGCCTCAGTGAGGACCCTCACCCCCCACAATAACCCAATCCAGGCACAAGGACGAAAGTGGTGTGGAGAACAAACCAGGAGAGCATCATGACCTGGAGCTGTGGTTAAAACAATACAGGCGGGGCCAGGATGTAGCTCAGTGATGCTGCACGTGCCTTGCAAGTGTAAGGTCCAGAGTTCGATCTCGGTACCCCCAAACAAAAGCGGGACCATCAGACACCCACCAGACAACCTCCCCCACATTAGACGAGATGAGGTAGCGGATGAACTGCTTCATGTTGTTGTAGATGGCCCGTCCCTCCTCCACGGCAGCCACGATGGTGGAGAAGTTGTCATCTGCCAGGACCATCTCGGAGGCAGTTTTAGCCACTGCAGTGCCAGAACCCATAGCAATGCCAATCTCAGCTTTCTTCAGAGCAGGAGCGTCATTCACACCATCACCAGTCTGAAAGGGAAGGCTCCGTTGGCTCAGACACCCGCCATGTGACAGCACGGCAAAGGCTTGGTGACCAACAGGGGAGGGAAATCAGACAGAGCTGTGGGTCTTGGGTGAGGGCCTACAGAATTCTTGTTTTATAGGAATTAAATGTATTTTCCCTGGCAAGTGCAAAACTACCAAGTGAGTTTACCAGAGACTTCAGAGAAAGTGAACAAAGGGATTTATTTATTATCTGTCTTTACCATACTTTGTATCAAAATTAAAAACACAACCTAACAAAACACTACACACAACAACCTACCGGCAGTCAAGATGTATTCAAACGGATCAATCTCAGATAGAAAAAGTACAGAATTGAAAAGTATGTAAGTCATAAACTGCAAAATTTCTTTCTTTCTTTCTTTTTTTTGGGGGGCGGGCGGGTACCAGAGATTGAACTCAGGACCTTGCACTTGCCAGGCAGGCATGGTGCCACTGAGCTACAATCCCCGGCCCATAAATTGCAAAATTTCTAAATATTATCTACAGGTACAAAATACCATTCCCATTTATATTTTTTATACTTTTACTAAATTCCAACTTTAGAATGTTGGTTACCTCTGAGGGTGGGAGGAGACCACAACTGTCTGGTTTCAAAAACAAAATTATTCTTTAAAAAGTTAAATTGTACAGACAAGTAACAGAAAGCAAATATAATAGCAAGACATTTGGGTGAAAGACTAAGGGAAGACTGTTGCCAATGGTTTGTAAATAGCTTGGGGATGTGACTTGGTGGGGGTTCAATCCCACACACACAAAGGTTCCTAACAGCCGACTTCCAGGGGAGTCACCTGGCACTGAGGGACCGACAGGGACTACTTCCGTCCCAGTAAGAGAATATGTGTAAAATGCAAACATGTCTACTATAAGATAAACACTAGATTATACCACCAAACTTTCTCTGTGACTGATCTACAAGGCTCTCTGGGTTTTAAACTATGTTAGGATCTTACACCACACCAACTACTTACTGATAACAATTCTAGAGAAAACAGCTGAACATGACAAAAGGAGGTCCAAATTAGGGGGCTATTGCTAAAAAAGTTTAATGATCAAAATTATAATCTGCTGCTTGTGACATCTGAGGCACTTGTCCCACTTGAACACTCACCATAGCTGTGATCTCATCGAAAGACTGAAGGAACTCCACGATCTTAGACTTGTGAGAAGGTTCGACTCTAGCGAAACAGCGGGCATTCAAGCAGGCATCTCTCTGAGCTGGGGGACTGAGTTCATCAAACTCCCGACCTGTAAAAGCCTTTGACGCCACATCCTCATCCTGGCCAAAGATACCGATGCGGCGACAGATGGCCACGGCGGTGCCCTTGTTGTCCCCCGTGATCATGATGACTCGAATGCCTGCCTGCCGACACAGCTTCACAGAGGAGGCCACTTCGATCCTGGGAGGGTCCAGCATGCCCACACAGCCAACGAAAGTCAAGTTGGTCTAAAGCAGAGAATCACTGAGCTCAAACAGGAAACTGTTTTGAAAACTGGCCAGTTTACACTAACAGCATAAGTTTGTTATTTATTTTCTCCCCTTGTTTGTGTTGCTGGGGATTGAACCCAGGGCCTTATAAACACTAAGCAGGCACTCAAACCACTGAACTACACTATCAGGTCCTGTTATTTTTTTTGAGTGAAACGTCACTACATCTTGTTCTCAAAATATTCTGGTTGTTTTTGCAGAACTGAGCTCTGGACCCAGGGCCTGTTACACACTGAGCTGTATCCCCATACTTGTTTTTTATTTTGACACAGGGTCTTGCTAAGTCATTGATGGGCTCGAACTTGGAATCCTTCAGCCTCAGCCACTCAGAGTGCTAGGATTACAGGCAGCTTGCCTGGTTTCCACATCATCCTTTAATCACTTATAACAACAGTCTAAAGAGGAAAACCTACTGAGGAAAAAGAGCATTTTGAGATTGGCTATTTCAGTTGTCCGTAGTACCAAAGCTCTCTCCTTCTACTCTTTAGCATATCTTATCCTGGATATGGGAATTCTCTGATGAAAAAAATGAAAAAACAAAAAACCCCAACAAAAGAATAAAAAAGAAAATCAATTTGAGTATTCTCACCTTTAAAAACGAGTATTTTTAGAAAATTTACATGAGTTGCAAAACAGGTTTGATAAGGTTTTTTAAAGCTAGTTTTGACATTCTTACTTTGAAAACAACAATTTTATGAAACCATTACCTACGTATATCTGAAGCAGCAGCCTCAATTATAAGAGTGACACGTGGCCTGTGGAAAAACCACAGGCCTCCTCCCTATCTACTTGCAGCAGCTCCACACACTGACCTAGAGGGGTGGGAGGGGACTCCTCAGCTACCTCATATTTGATGAAGTTGGCAGAGTCCTCCAGATGCATCTCTTCTCTTCGAAGTGGGTTGTCGTGAGTGGCCAGGGCCAGGCACCGCAGCGTATCACTGCCACTGCCCCACTCCCGAATGACAGACATGATCTTCTGTTTCACTCCAGGGGTCATGGGGACCTTGGTACTCCCAACTCGAATGTGGGTACACCTGTCGATGACACCTTCTGGAGCACCCTGGGAATGTTAGATTCAGATCAGTTTTATTTGCTGGCCCCTGGGACCTCAGCCCCAGTTGAGAAGAGCTCAGCTGCAGCCTGCTATATATACTGTACTTGCCTTCACAAACATCTTGCTCATGGATGTCCGACTCGGTTTGTTTGGTGTGCAGTAGACAGACATTGATTTCCTATCACGTGAAAACTCTAAAGTAAATTCCTTTTTCATTAGCTGTTTAATGACCTGTAAGGAGGACATATGGTTGGGTAACCCATTTCTGTACATTTCTGAGTGCTCAGCAAATATGCATAAGGCACCTATTCCATGACAGACACTGAGGACACAGCAATACAAATACAAGTTCTTGCCCTCATGAATTCTGTCCTCTAGTTTGGGACAAAGACTACAAAGTAAAATACACTATGTGGTATGGAGAAAAAAGCCAGCGATGGAGACAGAAAACTTGCGTAAGCACAGGCTGCAATGCCTCATTCAGTGGTTGGCAGGTGGCAACATGAGAGTTGAGCCCTAACAAGGTGTGACTGGGAGCCAGATGGATGGGGTGAAGCATGCTCCAGGCAGCCGGGACATATAGAGTGTGCATTCTGGCACACTCAAGGGGCCTCCAGTGAGCCAACCTGACTGAATAGTTTATTAGAAAGGGCAAGTGGGGACAGGTTCTGGATCTCCAGTCACTGTAGGGCACTTCATAACAAGTGAAACCGGAAGCCAATGGAGGACTTCAAACTCCAGCTGCTATGTACTCTTGGGAGACAAGCTGCACCACATAGTACAGTGATGGCAACACAACCAGATGGCCCTGGAGGTGGAGAGTTCTGGCCAGAACAGTGGTGCCCACGTAGCTGTCACAGGAGGCTGCTAGGCTTATATAAAATGAGACTAAGGCATCAGAGGAACAATCTGTAATCATTCTAATAGCTTCAGGAAACCAGCGGCTACTCTAATAGTCTCTAGGACATTGGCAGTGTTTAAGCCCATGGGACCAGAGGATGGTAGAAGCAGAAAGAGAAATGGTGAAGGATTAGGCGTGGGACCTCCAGTTCCTGGTGGCCCTTGAAAGAGCCAGCTGGCGAGATTCGAAGAAGCCAAGGAGGGAGAACAAGCCTGGAGTCTTGGAGGCCAAGTGAGTTTCAAAGGGGGAAGTCAGTTGACAGTACCAAGTGATGGGTCAAGTGAGGCGAGGACTGAGAAACTTTAGCTTTAGGCCATTACCTAACAAGAGATACCTTTTCCTTTCCAATTTTTCTTACATTATTGAATGGACCAGGACTGGCAGGAAAATCTCAAATACAGACATTAAGCAGAATTCTGTTGCCAGAAGTATGCTAGCGTGGGATAGAAGTACTCTAATCGGTGTGAAGATACACTCACCCAGCCATTGTAAAATTTTATCATATACCTTTCCTGTGTCTGTGGGGATGGTCCCATGGCTTTCTGCTGTTACTTAGAGTGGTAAATTACATGGATTTTCCCACACACAACCTCAGCATCCAATGTAGGAAGCTGAGAGGTTTGGAGTGCACATAGCTGGTCAGCCAGGCCAGGCATCCTAAAGCATGTGCCAGCCACTAAGCTGCCACAGGTGTAAAGGAGTATGAGCGCTGGTGTACTCTGTATTGAGATCTATTGCTGTGTTTCCATCACACTACCACCGACAGCTCCTCAGCTTGAGGGGCCCTGAGGAAAGTGCCCTGAAAATTAAGGGATGGAACTGCACAGGGCAGGCATCCCCTGGGAGGCAACCAGACCCATCAGGAGTGGCAGTCCCAGCAACATGGGCAAAGCAACAGGGCCTCACTCTCTCTTCCCCTGGACTATGGCTCTTGCTCTAAGGTAGGAATAGCAGTAAAGAGTTTGCTTTTGGGACTTTCAGTCACTTCTGATGCTTTCACCAAGCTAATATGAAATGCATGAGGCCAAGGCAGCCTGATCTGTAAGAGAGATAGCTCTTCCCATAACTTTGGTGGTCTCAGCAAAGGCATCATCTTTTAGGATACACAGTGTTGTTTCCCTTCACTGATGAGTATAGCTATAGGTCTAATTTCAAACAATTACAAACCTGTCTGTGAAGGTGAGTTTTCAGGTCACCTTTGTGTTAGTGAGGTTGACAAAGTAACAGAGCTGTCACACAGTGTGGCTTTGAAAGGATTTCCATCCTTGCTTACTGGCTATGAAAGAAGGGCCTAACAGTTGCCTGCTGGCTTAAACCTATGTACGGTGGTCCCATTGGGTGACTTATGCCATTGGCAGTTCAAACAGATCTAATCACTGTTATCCAGCTTTTTACTAAAAAAATAAAAAGCTGCCCAGTGGGAGTCATGCATATACTACCAGTGGCTCCAGCTGCCCAGCAGCAAGACACATGAAATTCCTCCCTGTTGTGAATGTGGATGGTGGTAGCAAATCTGCATGGTTCTTGCTTCATAGCAGCCGTGTGAGCAGGGGCAGAATGCCAAGAAGCTGCCCAAGGCCTACCCTGCCTGAGACTATTTATGAATCAAGTAGAGGTCCCCTGGGAAGTCTACATTCAGCTGAGGTGTTCTCCTCATCCTGTTGTGCGCAGGCAAACTGATGGAAAGGGTGGGCACTGGAGTAGGAAGCCAGTTGTGCCTCACACCAGACAAGGCAGGCCTTGGTGTTGCTTGCTCCAAGTGTCAAACCTAGGTCGGATGGGCTCCAAGTCCTTTCACACACAGCTAGATTCTGTGTGGGCATGGAAGGCTTTATTATCTTCCCTCCTCCAGCCCAGGCTGCACTTGCTTGCTCAGGGTGGTGGAGCCCTTGTTCCCAGTAACATTTCATCCTCCTCTGCCCTGGATCTCCATGGAGATGAAAAGGGTTTGCAACAAGCAAACACAAATATTATTGCTGACCATTTAAGAGAAGAGGGCTTTGGTTTTGCACAGCTTGTGGAACAAAAAAAGCCTTTGTTTTTACCTCTCCAACCCCAAAACTGTTCTTCAAACATACAGGCAACTGCCTTTCTCTTTTCTCATTTCTCTAAATTCTACCAGGAAGCCCTATGAAATTAGGGAAGTCCTACAAAGAAGCCTCAGGTGCCAACTGGCACCATCTGGTGATAACTGACAGGCCTGATGCACGCTGAGCCGGCCCTAGTACACTGGAATCAAGCTCCGGGAAGGGAACAGTATTTTGCTGACAACGGGTCTGGAGGACTCAATGGAGAACCTTGTGGTTGTGCAGGGGCTGAAAGGAGGGTATTGGTCACATTGGCAGAGTGGATGGGGCTGGGTGTTCTAGACCGGCTTACTGAGAGGGGATGGGGGTAGACAACAGATGTAGATCAGAAGCCTGACTTGTATCCTGAAGTTTCTGCTACTCCTGTTTGAAAAAGGGAATATGATGCCTTCAGCATCCAATCTTATTTTCTCCAGCTTCTGTGCTTCCATTCCCAAGTTTCCTTACCTTACTGCTTGCCTGCTGCAGCCTTACTAGTGCTGCTCTACCACCTGGCCCTGGTGCTCTTGTGCACTGGACCCACATGGTGTCCTGCTACTCAAACTTAAGTCTGCACAATGCTTTTCACCTAAGCCATCACCCAACACTTTGGCCAGGACAGGCCAGCCACTTCTGTTTTTTCAAGTGAACAAAGTGATAGGATGGTCAGTTCCAGTGCTAGTAGCTCTGCAGACTGCTTGTACACAGGGAAGGCCACAGGAAGCTAGGTATAGTGTGCCAAGGCAGTCTCACAGTCTGGGGAGGCACAGGGAGCAGCAATTCCTCCATAGGGACCTTGTTCAGGCTGCTGGGGCTCAGGTCCAACTCACTGTGGAGGCTCCAACCTTCCAACTGGCTGTGGCCACAGTGACTGGCAGGACAGGGGCCTGGAGAGCACTCACCTGACTAGTGTCAGGATCATGCTGACCTCATCAAATGAACTGAGAGGTCTTCTGTTCTTCCTCTTAATCAGCAAGGTCTGTGAAAAGTGGTATTATTTCCTCCTTAAATGTTTAGCAGCTTTGGGCTGGCAAGTTTTGGTGGGGGCAGACTTTATAGATTCAATTTCCTTTACAAAGGATTATTAAAATTTTCTTGTGTTGGGCCAGGGATTCTAACTCGGTGGTTTCGCTGCCTGCTGCACAAGCACAAGGACCGGAGTTCGATCCCCGGTACCAAAGAAAAAGAAAAAATTTTCTTGTGTCGACTGAGAAAGCTGTGTTCCTAAAGGGATTTGGGATTTGTGAAGTTCTTCTAAGCTGTTGAATATATTGTCATAATGCTATTCATAAGGATTTCAGGGGTGTGGTTCTACAGACTGGACCCAGGGCCTTGTGCATGGTAGGCACACACTGTCACTAAACTATACTTCCAGCCCCCATAATTGGTTGCTCATTTTCTTTCCTTTTTCTTCTTCAAATGGAAGTTTTATTACTGATTTTTAACCTTTTTCTACTGTGTAAAGACATAACATTTTCTTTAATGCTGTGCATCACATGTTTTCATTATCTAGTTCCACATATCCTCTAATTCCCACTATGGCTTTTCTGTTGTAACACAAAGACTATCAAAAAGACCAGCTTCCAAATATTTGGGGGACTCGCTGGTAACCAATACCTAATTCCACTGGGCTTAACAATACAGCCTGTCAGATTTCAATTCCTGGCAACATGGTGAGTCCTGCTTCACAGACCAGCAATACTGTCTTCTCTAGTGAATAATCTGTATGCATGTGAAAGCACAAGAAGTGGAGTCACAGAAATAGAAATACAGATTGAGGGCCAGGGATTTGGCTCAATGATGCTGCCCCCTGCCTCGCAAGCCCAAGATCCCAAGTTTGATCCCCCATACCGAAAAAAAAAGGGAAATACAGATTTAGTTGTGGACATGTACTGTTCAAATCTTTGGAATTACTAATTTTCCCTCTGTTTATTAGTTACTAAATATATTAAAATCTGCAACTCTAATTGTACACTTGTCTCCTCTCTGATCTTACCAATCTTTGCTTTATGTGCTTTACATGTGCTCTTAGGTACATCCGTAAATGATGTGCCACTGGATATAGCACAAGATCACAGGGGACTGTGATAAGAGGTTTTGATGGACTGATGGAGGCAAGAGCTTGACTGGAAAGGTTTCAAGAAAACAGGAACGGAACAGATTAATATGATAAAAAAACAGGCCTTTGAAGAGATTTTGTTATACAAGAAGAGAGAGAAGTAGAGTGCTGAATGGGGAAATGAGGTCAAAGGAAAGTTTAAGATAAAAACATACTAGCATGTTCCCTGTGCTGATGAAGGATCCATTAGAGATGGAAACTAAAATGCAAGAGAAATGCCTGGCTTTTGCTGGAGGTAAGGACAGTCCAATCACAGCCCTGTGGACACAGTTGGTTACTTGAGAAAATTATCTAGGGCCGGGATTTAGCTCAGTGGTGCCGCTGCCTGCCTCACAAGCACAAGGTCCTGAATTAATGCCCGTTAACAACAACAAAAAATTATCTAATTATGATTGGAAATTATCTATTGACTGCTTTTATTTTTCTTGGTCAAACAGCACAATCTTTTTTTTACCCTCCCTGGCACTGGGGATCGAACTCAGGACCTTGCACTTGGCAAGGCAGGCACCAGAACCACTGAGCTAAATCCTCAACCCCGATAGCAAGATCATTTTGCCTGAGCATGAATATAAGGAAGTAGGCGTTGCAAGTTTGAGAGAGAAGATATACTTAGTTGTCCAAGAGAATGAGAGTGAATGGACTGTGTACACATGGGTTGGGTTAACTGATGACTGCATGAACAAAACACCAAAGGCAAATACTGACCGAGTTGCAGGCATTTGCGCGTTCTATTTTAGAAAGAGCCTTCAATTCGGTATCAAATACATTCATCTTCTCTACCAGGCAAGTGAGAGCAGTCTCTGTAGCTTCTCCAACTTTTTCATATACACCTTTCGCCTGTGTTGATTAAAAGCATATAAAATGGAAAAGTGAACAGGTAAATCTCTCTTTTTTTTCTAGTTAATTTTGCTCCTGCATTACAGGAGATCACCCAGATAATTAAAAATGTACTCAGAGTATAGGAATACATGTTACCTTATCTATGAAGTAGCTCTGTAATGATATTCTATTATGAAGCTTTTTCATTTCCCTTCCATTAATCACTGTATATTATTTCACTTAAGTGTAAAAAGCCACTGATTGTAATATTCATTCAGGGAACTTTCAAATAGTAAGTTTCAAATTCCAAATCACTGCTTATCATTGAAGAGTTAACACTTTGACTGAGTGGGCCTAGCTTGCCTTAAAACAGAAAGCAAAACATCTATTTCCACTATTAAAAAGAAAGCTAGCTGGGCCGGGAATTTAGCTCAGTGGTTTCGCCACCTCCTGCACAAGTGGCAAGGACCCGAGTTCGATCCCCGGTACCAAAAAAAAGCTAGCTTCAGACCTGTGATTCCCCCTGCCTTAGTCTCCCAAATAGCTGGGATTACAGGTGTATACTGCCACACTTAGCTGGTTTATATTATCATTTTTATCATAATCATCATCAAAACAATCTAAGCTTGTTCAAAAATACACAGCTAGCCATCTTAAAAGAAAATCAATACCCTATTCCCTTCGGGAAACATTTTCATTTTTTTGGATACCGGGGATCGAACTTGGGTCCTTGCGCTTGCGCAGCAGGTGACGAAACCACTGAGCTAAATCCCCGGCCCTTGGGAAACATTTTCTAACCTAGATTTTACTCATTTATATAACAATGCTGTCAACAGTCAAGGATATAACATAAAATTCTTAGTCAAGAAACTGCAATGCTCAGTCAGGGATCTATGAATAGCACTCAATGGAAGAGGAAACTAAAACCAAGAACCCTGCTTTCAAAAGGAGGGAAGGAAAGCTGGATTTTCCTTCTGGCCACCCATCCTTACACAAGAAACTCTGAGCACTAGCTTCTCTTTTACGAAAAGGCTTACCTCATTGTAATCCAAAGCAGAGTCATTACAAAGAGCACAAATGGTTGCTAATTCTACAAGCCCATCATATTGATGACATTTTATTGGCTTATCATCTTTATGCCTATCAAAAAAAAAAAACACTTGAAGCAGTGTAATCAACACTATTGATTTCCCCCCAATTAATAACAAAAACAGAATTTTGAGGACAACAATCTAAATTGTCTAAAATGCAAAAAATTTGAGTGACAGCTCTTTGAAATCTAATGTTGGAGCTGGGCATAGTGGTGCATACTTGGTAGCCCAGCATTCAGCAAGCTGAATGGAAGATTTAGCTGAAAGGAGGACTGTTATGAGTTTAAGCCCAGCCTGAACTATATGGTGAGATCCTTCTCACAGGAAAAAAAAAAAAAAAAAATCTGAGGTTATGTATCAGTTTAAAAGTCAGCCCTGGGTTTGATTCCTAGCACAACAAAAACTAAAATTTAAAAATCTGATATTGCAGTTAATATTAATGCTAGGATTACAGGCATGCACCATCACGCCTGGGTTGTTTTCTTTTTCAAAGTGTGTTAGTTTATTTTAATGCACTCCTCTAAAGAGTATCAACTTAAGCCACATTCATTCATTTATTCTGTAGTGCTGAGTTATATCCCCTGCCCCTTCATGGCTTTCCAGAACTTCTTCAAACTGTATAGACACTACAATGCCACAATGGATCCTGTATGTATCCAGGAGGGAGGGTTACTCACACTTCTCCAATGGGTGCATACGTTGAGCCAGTTATGGTGAACTCATTAAGGGAACAAGTGTCACCTTCAACTTTGTCCAGAATGAACATCTGTAGGAGAGGAAAGCATAACAGTTTGTATATATATATATTTATTTATTTATAGCATAACAGTATTTAAAAGACGTAGATATATATTAAAAAATTGCAACTTGTCAACTTGCAGGGGGAAAAAAGTTAAGAAAAAAAAGGGGGGCGGTATCAGGGATCAAACTCGACCCTGCGCTTGCAAGGCAGGTAAGGTGCCACTGAGCTACATCCCCAGCCCAAGAAAATAATTTTAATAAAACTCCCTAAGGTTCGGCCTTAGGACTATCCTTACTTGACTGCTGTTATGCATCACCATTCTACCCTACCTTTCAGCTAACAGTCATGCTCAATCAATAATAAGCAGCCGTGGCACCAAAGATACAGGCAACAACCCACACCAAAAGGGAAACACACGAACTGTGGGTCAGCAAAAGGTCAATGCCAATGACTGGTTATTCTAGAATGCTCAGAATTCCAAATTTCCACTGGCTAGGAAACTGATATTAGGTAGTCCTGACTCAGAGCTAAGCATAAAAGCTTGGGAAGAATAAACTCACATTTCAGAGTCACATAAACACTCGCTGAGTAAAGTCAGACAAGCTGCTTCTCGGCACCTCCCCACTTACTTTATTGTAGCAATAGCTCATTTTCTATGAAGGTGCCTAACTCCATGTATACAGTGAGGAGCCAGCAGGGCTAAGTGAACTGCTTTCCCTCAGACAGTACAGATAGACTCGTGCTTAGAAACCTGTTTTCTCTTTCTCTCCTCCTCGCTCTTCCCTCTTTTTGGTGGTGCTGGGGATCAAACCAGGACCTTGTGCATGCAAGGCAAGCAAGTACTACCACTGAGATTCAGCCCCAGCCTAGGAAAGAATTCTTCATGTTACAGAAGAACCAAGTAGTGGGGCATGGTGGTTGCATGCATGTAATCCCAGCACTTAGGATGTGCTGAGGCAGGAGGATCACTTGGGCTACATAGTGAATTTAAGGCCAGCCTGAAGTACATAAGGAGAGCCGGTCTCAAACAAAACAAAAGCAAGTGACATGGGCTACTTTTCTTAAAGATGGATTTTTGTCTTGATTTGTAGCTGAGGCAAGAGGTCTGCAATTTTAACCCTGGCCTAGACAATTTAACAAGACCAAAAAAATTCAAGAAAGCCAGGTGTGGTGGTGCACACTTGTAATCCCAGCACTTAGGAGGCTGAGGCTGGAGGATTGCTGAGAGTTCAAGGCCACCTTGGGCTACACAGTGAGTTCAAGGCCAGCCTGTGGCACAACGTGAGATCCTGCCCCCAAAACAAACACAATTTAAGAAATAATTTTTTCAAGGAGGAATTTTAAAGATCTTAAACAAGTCAAAGAGGCCATTTTACGCTTTAAAGAACACATCCTCCATAGCATTTTAAAAAATGGGCTCATTTTTACTTTAAAATACATTCTTTTGCTTCACATTCTGTTATTTAGTAATTTAAATTCCAAAGTCTTCATCTGACAACCAGACTCAGAACTAAATCAACTCTGGAACAGAACTAAAATCTGAGATATCATATGATTATAAAAATAAAAATCAGGGGCTGGGGATTTAGCTCAGTGGTTCTGGTGCCTGCCTTGCAAGCACAAGGTCCCAAGTTCGATCCCCAGTACCCCCCCCCCAAAAAAAATCTAAAAATAAAAATCAAATTAATGGAATTTAAAACACTGTTGGCTCTTAAGCAAAGATTCCAGTTTAAAGAAGTTTGTCAAATGAGAAAAAGGGCTGTATTCAAGCTTACATATGGCATGATCAAGTCCTGCCTGCCATATTTTCTAACAGCTACAATACCTGAAAAATGAAGTTCATCAAAAATACTCTTTCCAGGGCCAAGGATGTAGCTCAGTGGTGCCATGCCTGCTTGGCAAGTTCAAGGTTGAGTTCGATTTCCGGTACAAAAAAAACACAAAAAAACATGCTCTTTCCACCGGGCATGGTGGGCACAAGCCTGTAATCCCTACACTCCAGAGGTTGAGGCATAAGGATCACTAAGTTTGAGGCCAACCTGAACCACACAGTGAGCCGCTGTCTCAAAAAAGAGGGCCAGGAATGTAGCTTGGTGGCACAGCACCTGCCCGGCAAATATGAGGCCCTGAGTTCAATTCCTAGTTAAAAAAAAAAAGCTCTTTTCAAAGATGTCTGGTATTTTATAGAAAACCCAGAATTAACTCTGTGTTCAAGGTCACACAATTAGTAAGTGGAAGGGAGGACTGAGTTTACCACTTCCCTGTAAGAATATTCCATTTTACTGCTTATAAAAGTTGTATGGGCTAGGGAATAGCTCTACTGCGAGTGTTCGCCAGGTATTGCAAGGTCCTGGCCTTGATCCCCAGCATTACAAAAAAAATTGTGTGACCCTCAGACATGCCATTTAACTTCGCAGTCTTAAGTTTTCTAACCTGTTGACCAGGACTACAATATCATTCAAATACAGTCAGATGTGAAAACAGAGGGACTGCACTAAGTATCAGAGGAAGTGGGCATTATTACAGTACACTACACTGCTTCTTTAATGATACTTTATTCCTAAAATGTGAAATTCTTTAGGTCTATAACCAGTCTAAAATATTCTAGAAGACACTCAGACCTCCAAAGTTCATTGGCTAACTCTAAATATACTTAGGCATTTTATACCGTGAGCAGGTAAAACATTTAGATCTGCAGGATGGAAACCTGAAGAGTCAAGGGCGATTATGTAACAGCCCTGCAGGAACCCTCCTGTGGAATACAGACTGCCACCAGCTTTCTGTTGGGAAAATCACTTAACTCAGAAAATGCAGCCTTTCTCTTTGCTATAAGAAAACATTTAAAATCAAACCATTTAAAGAAGAATAAAAGAAAAATATTTTATAATTAACTAGGAAGTGAAAAAAATTTAAAGATTACAATTTCACAAACTGCTTCTTTCAGGAACATAACAACTGTTCTGAGAAATTAAGCTTCCATGCTAAGTTTAAAGAATGTACTGGGGGAAGCTAAATAGTAAACATGAAATCCTTTCCTTTTCTGAAACCACCAGAGTGACAAAACTGGTTTCTAGCCAATTCATCCAACCTTTCAGTTCCAGAGTGAGTTAAACCCTCTTCTGCAGAAACCTACGACAAACGCAGAAGCTGACCACTTGAGAGCTGCGATGCTCCAATCTGCTTCAAATAACTGTCCATCACCTCTAAAGCTGGGTTTAGTCTTCACAAAACTGTGAGGGAGGGGACTCAAACCAGCTGAGCTGAGCACAGTGAAGCGTGCCTGTAATCTCACTGCACTAACTCGCTCTGGGGGGGTGGGGGCGCCTGAGGCAGGAGGATCACCTGAAATTCTAAGCCGGCCTGGGCTACATAGTGACTTCAAGGCTGGCCTGAACTAAACAGTGAGACTGTCTCAAGAAAAAAACAGAACAAAAACACACATATTATCAACACTGTGAATTTAAAATTAGCTAGATGAACACTCATAGGGTTTGACGCTAAAAGAATAAACAGTATTATCTGAAACCTGGAGGTGTGGCCAAGAGAATGACTGCATGATTTTAATGTCATACAGAATTATTATTTAAAAGGCCCGCTCTTGGAAAAATCTAGCACTGTTTCTGCTATAGTGGGCACCCCTATTATGTAAAGGCAAGGATCTGTGCTCTTCAGAAAACATGTAATTTTGCTTCCTTACAGGTACCAGTTTTGTAATCTAGCCTGGCAATCCTAAAATTATTTCCTTAAATTATCTTTTAATGCCAATTTTACAGATTTCCTTGCTAATTAATGAGAAATAAAAACTTTGACACATGTCCAGTCTACATTCAGTATTTATATGAGCTATGTGTACTCTTACTATACTGACTTGCACTAGCTTGTTTGAGTAAAGTCTAGGTAAAGAGAATTTTTCTGAGATGGGGTCTTGTGTTGCCCAGAGTGGCCTCAAACTCCTGGGCTCAAGGGAATGTCCCACTTCAACTTCCTGAGTGGCATGGGACTGGGAATTTATCACAGTGGCACCATGCCTGCCTTGGAAGCGCAAGGTCCCGAGTTCGATCCCTGGTACCAAAACAACAAACTTCTTGAGTGGCTAGGTTTCAGTTACACACCACTGTGCCCTACTTAAAATTAATTCTACAAAAGAACATGGGCTTGGAGTGCAGCTCAATGGTAGAGCACCTACTAGCATGAATGGTCCCCTGGGTTCTGTCTCAGCACGATAAAAATAAACAAAATAAAACTTAATTTTATTATTATTTCTTCAGATTTTTTCTTTTTATACTACTCGGAGTGGAACCCAGGGCCTTATACAAGCTAGGGAGCCACCCTACCACTGAACTACATTCCCAAGCCCCCAGAGCATCCCTTTTTCTTTTTGAGACAGGGTCTCCCTACATTGTTTACACTGGCCTTTAACTTGTAATCCTGTCTACTTTTCAGGAAAAAGCACGCTTCATCAAGTATGTTACAGAAATAACTAATTAGGACTTCAGGCAGGAAGTTATTAGCTGCTTCTTCTGAAGCTTGTCTGTTAACACACATACATCGAGAGAGAGAAAGTCAAAGAAATAAAGCTTCTGGTTAACTCCCTAGTAGAAGTCATGAGCCATGCACGAAGCTATCTCTCATTTCTCAAGACAGTTTCAGAAATTAAATGAGTAATTCCTCTCAAGTATTAAGTTGGCCCAAGCCTCACACAGAACAGTTTCAAATTCTAAATCTAAAGTTTTGGTGGCAGAAAGGTGTACTTTTGGGACAAAGAGAACCATAGGAGAACCTGAAAAAAAGGATTTCCTTACCCTGCAGACTGACATCTGATTCGTAGTAAGTGTACCAGTCTTGTCCGAACAGATAACAGAAGTACAACCAAGGGTTTCCACAGACGGAAGACTTCGAACAATAGCATTTTTCTTTGCCATTCTGCGAGTTCCAAGGGCCAGGCAGGTGGTGATGACAGCGGGCAGACCCTCAGGGATGGCTGCAACAGCCAGCGCCACTGCAATCTTAAAGTAGTAGATAGCACCTCGGATCCAGGAGCCCCCGTGCACTGGATCATTAAAGTGCCCAATGTTTATGATCCAGACTGCAATGCAAATGAGAGAGATGACTTTGGAAAGCTGTTCGCCAAACTCATCCAGTTTCTGCTGAAGAGGTGTTCTCTCCTGTTCTGTGGCCACCATTTCATCTCGGATCTTGCCGATTTCAGTGTTAACTCCAGTTGCCACCACCACTCCCATGGCTTTCCCAGCAGCAATGTTTGTACCCTAAGGAGAAGTAGAGGAGAACTGCTCACAAGATCAATACATCCCAACTTGACCACTATAATTCAGACACTGGATTTTGAAAGGGGCACCCTGATTCCTCAACTTACTCTACTGGGGACGTCCCAAGGCTGCAGTGACAGTGAACAATCCCTCATGCAGGTGGCAGATTACCCTACCCTCGGCCCCCGCAAACCTGGCTTGGATTCCACACAGTACCTCCCTATCCAGCTCCACACTGATCTGTCTGGATCTCGATTCACAATGTGGAACACCACTTGCAGGTTACCTTTGGGCTTTGCAGTGCTTCAACCCTTCTGCATTCTCAATTTTTCAAACTCCAACCTGCCCTCAAATTCTATGCTTCCCCCTTCCCCCATCTCTGGCTCCAACAGTGCACCCTGCCCTACTTCTTTTTTTTTTGGTACCGGGAATTGAACATAGGAACTTGCACTTGCCAGGCAGATGCTACACCGCTGAGCTACACTCCCAGCCCCCTGCCCTACTTCTACCAGCTATAAGAAGGGCAATCAGCCCCAAATGGGCTATCTTGAAGGTCAAACACCAGCACTGAGTCAATGCCACCAAGTGTGAGTGTCTTCTTTCCAACGTGCATTAATTCCTAGTGTCAGAATGATATGGCTTTGTTATTTCCACTGTTACTCTCTGATGCTTCACTTATTATGGGTAGGTTAAGCTCTCCCACTAACCCACAGAAGCCCACTACTTCAAATACCATTCTAGATTGCAAGCAACTTTGCACTATTTTTAAAAACTTTCAAGTCAACAGAAAAAGCGAAATAGTACAATGAACATCCACATACTCTTCATTCAACACTAATGGTTTGCCATGCTTGCCCACGCACCCTCTCCAAACATACCGCTTCATCATGAACCAGGAACAGCAGCAACATCCATGTCATTCTGAAAACACCCTTCATGGGCTAAAGGCTTTCCCAAATACATCTACTTTTCAACTGTTTGCAGATGCAAGACGAAACCTGTTTGACCTGATCACTTTTTCTCCTCAAAAACTTGCCAGTCAAAAGTAAAGATATCTAAGTCACACATTATACCATTGCATTTCATTGGCTTGTTTGGTGGGTGGGTGGGAGTTCTGGGGATTGAGCCCAGGGCCTTGTGCATACTAACCACGTGCTCTGCAACTGAGCCACACCCCTGGCTCAATAACTAGTAATTTCTGACAGCTAAGACTGACCAGGAAGAGTATCATTATCCTTTCGAATAACAGACAATACTTTTTAAAGTCTGATCACTGAAGGTAGCCAGTAAAAAACATCGGTGGACCTTTGAAAATTTAGGACTATCTCTAAATAAAATACATTTGAAGTTTGGCATGGTGGTACACACCTGTAATATCAGCTATTTGGAAGGCTGAGGCAGGAGGATTACATTGAGGCCAGCCTAGACATTGTAGGAGACCCTGTCTGAAAATGAAATAATACTTCAGTACTTCCTGGATTCAAATCCCAATACAAGACCCCCCCTCTCCCCCGTAAAAAAAAAAGCTTTTGAGGGCTTGGCTCAGTGGTAGATTAGGTGTTTAACATGTGTGAGGCCCTGGGTTCAATCTCCAGTATCACCAATACCCACCTAAAATCTGAAAAAGCACTTACAGAAAAGAGCATGTTCTTCTTATCTTGGTTGACAGCCCGTGGGTCAGGGACAGGGTCAGTGTGCTTGATGACTGAAACAGATTCACCTAAGCAGGTTGTGAGACATAAGGGACAGTTAAATCTGGGAACCCTCATCCATACCATCCCCTTACCATTAATAAGATACTGTCAGCATGGGAAAAGGAACATGCAGAAGAAGAAAACTAGGAAAATTTAGTAATGAAAATTAATTCCACAGCAACAAATGTCAGGAGTAAAAAGCAGTGCACTTTCAAAAGGAGCTTAATTTTGAAATAAAACCCAATTACCTTCCTTTTCTGGAATAATCACTCAGTTTTATACTCTGAATATTTGACAAAAGATATGATTTCTCAATTAGCCTAAAACTACAGTGTGATTACTTAACAGAAGAGGACACCCCAGACCTTCTGTTTCTACAGACACACCCTGAGAATTTCACAAATAAAACCCAGCCACTGTCCCAACATTTATATCTTAACTGCTTAGAGCTTGTTGCTGCTCAAGGGAGTTTTATCAGATAAGCCATTCATCAAAACAAAATAAAAAGGGGCCAAGGTTATGCACTCACTGTCTATATTAGTTGCTTTCAAACACTGATAATCAGATAAATTCCGGAGCTTTTATATTTTCTATTTAATTCAGGTTAGCATTGTTCTTAACCTTAATCTGACAACCTTAAGAGTTCATTTGAACCCTCCACCCTACATTGTATCTGTATCACACAAAAATGGGAAAATGTTTCAAACAATTATAAGTGTAGGAGTGCAAACTCCAGGTAGTCCAACAGTTACTTTTTTGGGCTAACTTTTGTTAACGGTACAATTGCTTATTGCAAATTATGTTAGATGGAAGATTAGAATTCTTCTAATGAGAAAAACTATATCACTTGGGTCTATTTTTCCTGCCTGGAGAAAGGGCAATGAGTAAATAATTCACTTTCCACAGAACAGGCAAGCAACATTTCAACCTTAAGATAGATTACTTCTGCTAACAAAGGAACTGATAAACCTTTTAAAAAATTAAACCAGTGATTCTATATTAAAAACAAACTTTTAATTAAAAAGATAAATAGGGGCCATGAGATAAAAGCCTATATTAGCAAAAAGCTTAATTGATAAAGCAATAATAAAACAAGTCTCTTAGGATCAGGTGGGATACACCAAGGGCTGACTATACTGGCTCGGACGCAACAAAGCGATTCCTCAGTTTTCAGGAACTTTCCAGCTTGTAACACTTACCAGTGAGAATGGACTGGTCGACTCTTAGAGTCGTAGACTTGATGGAAGTTAATCTTATATCAGCAGGAACTTTGTCACCAACTAATGGGGGGAAGGAAAGGCAGCTAAAGTGAACTTCTATTACCGTATTACCTAAAGATTAGTTTGTATCCAAATCTAACAATTTTTAAAGGAAATAAACACCCTATATACAGTGCAGTATGCCAGGCATGGCAGTGCATGCCCGTAATCCTAACACTCTGGGAGGCTGAGGCAGGAGGATTGCAGTCTGAACAATTTAAGTTTTGTGAGACCCTGTCTCAAAATTTAAACATAAATAAAAAGGGGCTGAGAATGTAGCTCAGAACAAATGTAGCCCAGTGTCAGTAAGTAAAGCAAGCAAGCATTAAAAAAAAAAAAAAAAAAGTTTGGCTATATATGTATGCTCAGACCTGGAAGTTGCCACTCTGAGTATTTTGCTGGGGATACAGTGCAGCCTGTGCCACCAGGTTTGGATTCTCTTTTTTTTTTGGTACTGGGGGTTGAACTCTGGACCTTGTGCTTACAAGGCAGATGATGGAACCACTGAGCTAAATCCCCAGCCCTGGATTCTCTCTTTTTTAATAGTGCTTTAATTTTGTAGCTCTGTGTTAGTTTTTTTTTAGATAGGGTCTCGATATGTAGTTCAGGCTGGTCTTAAACTCACTGTGTGCCCCAGGCTGGCCTCAGGATTACAGTTGTGTGCCACTACACCCAGCAATAGGCTTTTTTAAAGGATGCTAATTCACACAAAACAAACACAACATAAACTATACAAATAAGAATTGTGAAAACAGACTTAGTTGGCAAGGATGTATGCATTCTTATTCAGCATGACCGTAAGAGATGAAAATTCCCCAGAATTAATAAGTTAGAAAATTTATTAGGTATATGCAGAGAGAGTCATAAAAATCCTGTCAAAGGCCTGGAGATTTAGCTCAGTGGTTCCAGCGCCTGCCTCGCAAGCGCAAGGTCCCAAGTGCGATCCCCAGTACAAAAAAAAAAAAACAAAAACAACAAAAATCCTGTAAAGTGCAGCTAATAAGGAAAACTATGGATGTACACAGTGTCAGTAAACATTCTCCTCAGACAGGGGCAGCACATTTAGTGTTCATGACTCTGTAAGCTTCCCAGACTTGGTGGCCACTCTGTATATGCTGCTAGTAACACCTACTACAAACTTTAGTGGGCAAAATTATCAAAATTGCAAAGCACCATGTTTTTACCCACAAATTAAGAGAAATTTAACCTATAAACATTGCTCAGATTATGTAGTTAATTTACAGCAATTTTTGGTTAACACTGCAAAGATGAGACAACTCTTCACAAAGAAGTGAAAACTTCTAAGATACACTGTACACTGAGTGAGGAAAAACAAGATGTGAATGGTACTTCTGGGGCTGCCAGCAATATAAAGAAATACCTCTGGGAAGGGGAAACAAACTGGTAATGCGGGGTTGTTGGGCATGGGTGGAGGGAGACTTTTCACCTTATACCCTTTGGACTTTTTGAAATATGAATTATCAAATGAACCAATAAACCTCTTGCAAAACCTGAAGATCTTTCAGCCAAATGGGCCTCCTTTCCTGGGCTAAAAAGGTCCTTTAATAGCTCTTGCCAGGCATGGTGGTAAATGCCTTTAATCTCAGCACTTGGGAGGCTGAGGCAGGATTGCCATGGGTTCGAGGCCAGCCTGAGCTACATGGTGAATTCAGGGCCAGCCTGAACTACAAAGGGAGACCCTGCCACAAAAACAAAAACAAAGAAAACAAAACAACCCCCAAAACAAAACATCACAACACACACCCAATACTAGATAAAGCCAATGTCTCTACATGCACCCTGACAACAATGCCCAGCATCCTCTAGAGATTGCTGATTAAGTACACATCTGCATGAAAACAATTTTACATTTATAAGTGTAGGGGCAGGTTTGCACCTCAGTGGTAAAGCAGTTCCCTAGCATGTGTGAAGCCTTGAGTTCAATCAATCCCTACCACTGCCCAAAAAACCTCCATCCAACCCCCAAGTGTAAAACAGCTTTCCAGGACTTTCTGAAGAGTAACTAAGGAAGCTTTGAAAGTACTAGTGGAAGGATAGCTCAAAATATTTTTAAGTAAAATTTTCATTTTCCAGACTTACCCTACAAACTGAATTGTATTCCCTGTCACAGGTTATAAATAAAATGGCAAGACAGCCATGCTGTCCAAGAAATAAACAATGGACTTGTTAAACCTTCAGTTTAGTTCCAACTGTTCTGTACTTAAAAGATCTTTCAAATTCAAGAATACAGCTTGCTTTTAAACCTCAATGCACAGAACAGCTCTATACCCTTAGTAGGCAATGTGGCCACAGGCGGTGCAGAAAGAGTCTGTCAATATATAATCTCAAGAGGCAAAGACTGTCCCAGCATTTGACTGCAGGGACACCCAGGTTAAGATGAAATTCCTGCTGGAGATGCTTATGCAATGAACAGCAATATTCCAACTAAATAAACTAGAGCCTTTCATTTTAACAGAACTCTGCTCATGCTAGGGAATACATTTAACAGATGATTAAGACAATAAAGTAAGCATATTCTGAACTTTAGTGACCTTCAACAAGCTAAAATGCCCTATTAAGATGAAAATTTAAAAGCAAATTAAAATTGTTTTACTGTTTTTACCATCATAACCAGATTCTAAATGCCTTTAAACACTGTGAAGTCCAAGCTCAAAGATACGTATTATGACTTTAAAAGGAAAATTTTCAAATGTTTGTTGATGTCTGAAGCAATTTATGTCACAATCCTCCAGGAGCAGAAAAGACTTCTGTCCAGTGTAGCACAGAGGTCCTCAATCTAAACACTGCTATACCTCTACACTATAACTATTAGCAGACTTCTGCAGTGATTCTATTTTTCAAGTTCCATATACAGTGTTGGTAGGACATTTGCTTAATATGCAGGCAGCCTTCAGTTTGATCTTCCACACCACAAGTAAATAAAAACAAGTGAAGGGAAAAAAGCCAGGTGTAGTGATGGATGCCTATAATCTCAGCTACAGTACTTGGGAGGCTGAGGCAAGAAGATCACAAACATGAGGCCAGCCTGGGCAAATCAGCAAGATCCTGTCTCAAAAAACAGGCTAATTGTAGTTCACCACTCCTTGGGTTCAAAAGGGGGCAAAGGAGGGGAGGGGGAATAGAAAATGTATCTTCAGGGCAATAAATATCAAAGTTAAATTTCTTGACTAACATAGTTAACATTTTCAGAGTAAGATGACATAATATATATTTTTTCGTAAAATATTTCTGGCAGCATTATAAAAAAAAACCAACTACTTTTTCCTAAAGGTCTAAATGCATGAAGGGTGTCTCTGCTGTATAGAAAGTGTATTGAGGGCTGGGGATTTAGCTCTGTGGTTCTGCCACCTGCCTCCCAAGTGTAAGGTCCTGAGCTCGATCCCCAGTACTGAGGGAAAAAACAAAAACAAAAACACATTATCTTGACTGACCTATGCACCTATGTTCTAGCGTTATAGAGAGCAACTAAGGCCAGGAAGGAAAACAAGTCTTTCCTAAGCAAGTTTCATTTACTGTGAGACTGCTTAACTCACTCTTGCTTTTGGTAATAGTCCACTGACAGATCACAAAGCAGGTTCTGTTGAGAGTTAAAAGACCTATGAAAGTGATGACCCATCAAATAATTTTCAAACTAAGACAAAATGATTTCCTTTTGTGTGCAGGCTTCCATGAGTTTCAGACACAGGGACTGGGCCTAAGGATCAGGCAGTGCAGTTCCAGGGATCACATTTATTAACACCCCTGATGGGGCATGACAATGCCCTCAGGGCAAGTAATAGTGGAAAATCCTTCCTCTTGCCAAGGAAAAGCACTGCAATTTTTTCCTCCAAATTTTTTTTGTCTCTTCGGGTTGAGGCAGGTGTAATCAAAGAATAATCACTTGTGAACTGCCTTCCATTTAACATCTTGACACTTTTCAAATTCAGCTCTTGGATCCCTCATACCTTAGCTCTTAATCCCTTGACATCACAATATATATTTCCACTCTGAACAAAATCCTAGAGTATACTTCAAGTTAAGAGTCATGTTAGGGAGTTCAATCCCTGGTATCCCCCCTAAAAAAAGTCATGTTAGGTATACATAAGAGTCAATTAAAATAAATTATTACTTTGCCACACTTTAGAACTGAATGCAAGCTTGCTCTCCCTAACAAGTATCTAACAATTTGCATCACTTATGTCAAATACTGACATTTAAGATAGCACTTACTCAGAAAATTCTTGTAAATTTTTAAAAATTTAACTTACTGTGGAGAATTCCATCAGATACTTATTAAAATTTTTGCTAAGAAAAAACTATGTAAGACCAGATATTGTTTAAATCCCACTACTGGTTCAGTTTAAATGACTCCTAGGAAAAGCAAGTCATAATAAAATTAATTACCCTAGATTTCTTTTTTTGTTTTTCAGGTAACAGGGATCAAACTCAGGACCTTGCACTTGCAAGGCAGGCATGGCACCATCGAACTAAATCCCTGGCCCAACCCTAAATTTCTTAAGCATTTAAAGGTGACTCAAACATTTTCACTGTTTCCAACTCAAGCCATAAATTGTGCAATCATGCAAAATGAATGAAATTCCTCACTTGAGAAGACAGAGTTGCTGACTTCAAACTATTTCCAAGCCTTAGGGTGAAAAGGAAGAAACATTCCAAAACACCAACCATGGTATATACTGTTTGCTCCCAGTATGGCTTTTCAGGAGTATACCCTCTTTTAACATGCTCCCAGGAGCTAGAACCACTGGCGGTACGTGCCTGACAATCATGACACAGCCATGCACGTACCACCAGTGGTTCAAGACGCCTTGGGTATGACAGACACCATGTTTGAAAATTGCAAATGTGGCTTGGGGTGGTGGCATGCCTGCAATCCCAGTACTCAAAGAGGGTGAGTCAAAATGGTGGCAAGTTCCAGCCCAGCCTGAGCAATTTAGTGACTTAGCAAGACAGTCTCAAAATAAAAGGCAAATGTAGAAACACTGTCAGACGTAAAATCTTTC